GGTTTGTGCAAAAAAAAAAAAAGACCTCCATTTTCTCTGCCCCTCATGTTTGAAGCTCCTCCGTTAGTTGTAAACAATTAAGATGGCAAATTTGAGAGATTCAGTACCTGCAGACTAATCCCATTGATTTGCATCAAGCAAAGATAGGGGGCTCAGATTCCAGTGATTAAATGGGTGATTTTGTCCACTTTAATTCATTTCAATTTATGCCATAAATGATGCTGTAAAAATGCCATAAAAATGACTGCTAGCTGCCACATGACAAGTTGATAATTTGTGGAGGAGATGATTGCTATGCATTCATGCATGCACTGTTTCTTGAAGAGAGGCATTGGAATTATTAATTCGACTACAGAAGCGAATACGATGTGAGCACTTCCTGTTTATTGTCCTCTCTCAGGGAAACCAAGCTCAAATGCCTGTGTCGTCCAACAAAGAACAATGTCATTTGTCATAGATCTGTGCCCAACTTGGTGAGCATGTTGATCTTCATAGATTTCTTCTATTTGCTGGAGTAGTGGCTTGCAACTCAAATGCTTGTTCTTGCAATGTCAGGCCAGCTAGCCTAATATATGGTGAGAGCAATTACCCCAAATCCTTCTCTCTTTTCTGCAGCTGACAAAGTATGTGCGGCAAAGGCTGGCAGACAGATGATGCACACTTCTGGTGCGCTGTGTATTGATGGAGGCATATATATATATATATATATATATATATATATATATATATATATATATATATATATATATATATATATATATATATATATATATATATATATATATATATATATATATATATATATACTGAAAATGAAAAAATTGGGTAGGACTTGAACTCCCCCCCCCCCCACCTACAAATATTACAAGTAAACAGGCTCTTTCTCTCTCTCTCACACATACACACACACACACACACAAAATTCTAGCCATGATTCCAGATGTCCACAAAATAGAATGTTTTGGGAGGTTGATGGCTCCCGGTCACTAATTCTAGCCCTAATTAAAGTCAATGCTCAAGCGTTATATAAGACCTGAAAGACATTGTATGGCATGATGTTTATTGAGATATTTGTTGCGGGAAAAGGAACAGACACGCAAGAGGCAAAACAGATGCGCGCGTCTGGCGCATATTTCTTAATTTATATATGGATAACCTTTTATTTATAATTTCATTATTTTTGCTTGCGGTGTTTTAGGTGTCATCGCTGGAGTTCGGACGCGAGTGCGCTAGAGTTCCGATCCCCAACGATCCGCGGCTGCCTCATCTGAGCAAAAACAAAATATTTCTCGCCAAATAACGCGCGCGCGAACACACACGCGCGAAGTATGTTTTAAGCTTTTGATTGGATCATCGTTGTCATGTGACAAGTACGGTTCTACCGATTGGCCTTCTTCGCTGCTATTGTTAAGGCGCCATTTTCAAAACTCGCTTTCGGATTGCTTTCAGTCGCGAGGTTGGGGCACGTCTACGAAGAGGTCGTGCTGGTGTTGAGGAATCGTAGTTTGGTGCACCATGCTGCGCAGGGGTGTGTAAGTGCCATAGTGCGCACAAATAATAAATAATACGGCAGCGAGAATGGCAGGGACGCGCCACACACAGCAACCACCCTCGCAACGAATGACGCCGTTGGACAGCGGTGCCGGATTGCGACGTCAAGGTGGTCGAGGGCCCTACAGAACGCCGGCAGCATTGCAACAGACTCAATCCGGATACCAGCAGTCGTGACACCGACAGAATGCGACAGCACGCTGACGAGAAAGTCGTGGCTTCGCCATACTCGCCACGGTCGAGCGAAGGCAACGTGTGCGATGCACCAGGGTGGAATACCCAAAAATACATGATTGTTGACATGAAGTGTATCAACGCACTTATCATGGCCAAAGTATAGCATGCCCGACTTGCAGGGCCGCCGGCAGCGATAACCTTTCGATTGTCACATTTGGGAAGTCACGCGACAGCATCTCTTCCAGCTTGCGCACGGTGTGTAAAAACTGTGAGATCCTGAAAGAAACCGAGTGAAGTGCCTCCTAGGCTGCATTTCCCTTCAATTTTGCTGGCTGTTCGCTCCGCGAAGAGTGCAAAGATGCATCGAAGTAATGTGCTGCCAACCAGGGAATGCGCGCATGCCGACCTACGAATGGACCCTAGGGAAGTGTTTTCGGACTGCGCTTTGGTAACACCGTATAACATTTTAGTTCTGATGAGGATGCACTTCGCTGAGTTCTCACGATGAAAAAAGATCAATTTGTGCGAAAAGCAATGGAACTGCTTTTGTAGGTGGTTGTGGTCATTGAACATGTGGGATACCTGTACTCTGTTTTAGGAAACATCCTTATTTGTTTTCTGTTCTCCTTGTATCCACGTTCGCACCTTTCCTACATGGAATGCTTATTCCGTACACCAGTAATTCTCACTTGCGCGCCACTGCCCATATTAATATTGTTTTACTCATTGCCACATTGAAATTGCGCGGGCTGGGATGACTACATATACTTAACTATGTCATGGGGATAAAGTGACTGAGCATGCATGCTTTTTACATTAAAAATATAGCTTATCCACATCTATGCATGGTACCTTTATGCGTTTTATGAAGTCCCACATATTTAGTGACCAACATTTGGTGACCCTGAAGGCGAGTGTCTGCTGAAATGTTCTTCAGCAAAAGGTGTTGCGAGACGGTATAGCGTACTAGCGCATATTCTAGTACACTATAGAGGTGGCAACAGTGACCGTTTTCGGGCACCGTTGTCTGCCACCACTGGTGTCCATAACCGCTGTCGCACGAAATGATAAAAATATCCAGGATGGAAGCGGGATTCGAACCTGGGCCCACTTCATAGCAGCGCAGTATTCTACCACGGAGCCCTCCAGGGCTTGAAGCTCTTTCTCAAAAAGACTCTATAGGCTTCATATCTGGAATGAACGACGTTAACATATCTAATATAGCACATGTAGAAGAGCGAAGTAACAACCAGGTGTCGCACATTTCAAATTACGTAACTTGCGAGTCGTTGAATGCTTCTGTAACCCATTACAAAAGGCACAGCCATAATTTTTTTGTTTGTAGCCCCAGCATATTAACTACGCATAATCCTTTACAGGTGGATTGCAGCTACCACACTTCGCCCAGAATTACGAATCATGATATATCGGATGCTTCACTACTTGACAAAAATTATGATGGTTTATAGCATAGTGGGCTCCTCACTAGTGTACCTGCATTAGGTGCAAAGGAAGCCCATGAGTCTTTTATGATCCGTTTCCTCAGGAAAGTTCTTTCTTGCTCATGTTAATGCATTTAATGTAGTGGTGTAAGTGAGTAAGATAACAACCGCGAATCACACAATGCGAATCACGTAACTAGAGGGTCGTTTAAAGCTTTCAAACTGGTGCAAATGACTTGGCCATAATTCATTATCAGCCACTGCATCAACAAAGTGCACATAATGGTTTGCAGATGTGTAGCACCCGTTTTTCAGCAGAGCAACGAACAAGAGGTGCCTTGCAAGTGTACAGTAAACTGTCATTACGATGAACTCTGTTCGTCATTGATAAATTTGGTTCTTTTCTCTGGTTGGAAAATTGAGCGAATGCCTGCGTCTCGCAGGATGAGATGGCCTGCCTGCATCATTGATAGGCGTGTTATCTGTGTCACTCTCTGAGCCTCAAAAATTTCTTCAGCCGTGTTGTGCAGACCGAGTTGCTCGAGCCGAGCTTTAAAAACACGTATAAAATCAGAGCAGTTCTTGATTGATTGATTGATATGTGGGGTTTAACGTCCCAAAACCACTATATGATTATGAGAGACGCCGTAGTGGAGGGCTCCGGGAGAGCAGTTCTTCTGAATAGTAAACTAATTGAAAGGAAAATTTACGTATAAAATTCTTTCAGTATTGTAACTGAAGTATATATCGGGAAAGTCGTATTCATTCAGAAATATGAGGTGGATTCATTCAGAAAAATGCTAGGTGGCAGCTGCTGTCACGGCTTTAAAACCCAAGAAACCTAGATGCATGTATTTGGGGACAAATTGATTGTCTTATATGCTGTTCAACTGGTACAGCTTAGAGGCAAATATACTTGTGTTTGAAAGTGTTTGCTTGGTGATCTAAATGGTTGATAAGCTGCTCCAGATCGAGTGAGATTTAATAAGATTCGAGATTTTAGATGTGGCTTGGGTTTATCACATTACCGCGCACACACACAAACATTGAAAAAGAAGTGGAAAGCAGTGCTAACAAACTGCAAGGACGTAAGAGAGAGAACACAATGCTCTTATGTCACGCGGGGGCGTAGCCAGGGGTGGCACACCAAGCTCGTGCCCCCCCCCCCCCCCCCCCCGAATTTTTTTTCGACATGGGATGGAGAGCGAAAAATAGTCATATTAAGGGGGTGCCCTTCCCAAAATCAAAGTAATGCCCCCCCCCCCCCCCAAAAAAAAAAGAGAAAAATCCGGCTACGCGTCTGCTTACGTCCCTGTTAGCGCTCAATAAGCTTTCGAGTTCTATTTACCAACACGCCCAAAATGACAATGCTGAAAAAAAAATAATAAGTGTAATATATGTTACATGCACGGTTCAGTTTCCACCATGAATGACTGCAGTTGAAGATATGCTGTTCATGTGCAACAGTGCAAGATTAGTTTTTTAACTGCTAAGCAGAGGAATTAAGTGTGCTAAAATGTTGAACATTGCCCATGCTTTGGGTGACAATGATGCTTTGGGTGACAATGTTGTAACCCAAAGTGGCGCAACACTGCAGTAGCTCAAAAAGATAGCTTTCTCTTGCCTGGTTCCCGAGCTGCGCGTGCGCAGAAATTTATATATCACGCATGTTTTAAACGCCTCTGACACCAGGGGCTTGGGCAGAATTTTTTTTTTTTTCGAAGAGGAGGGGGGGGGGGGGGGTCCTCTTCCTTGCGCTATGGTGGCTAGAAGGGAAAATAAGCATGGAGGAATGTTCATGAGAGTGATGGTATGTCTCTCAGAGGACAAAAATTAGACGAAGAGGAGTACAAAAGCTTAAAGTTTACAATATTCTTAAAAAGACACTGATACGTTTATTTGCAAAACGAGGCAACACAGCACCTGCTTTCGACATTTCAGGCAGCCTCAGTGCAACGCGCATCAATCGATTATGCTGTTTGGTGCCGGGCAGATGTGTAAAAGTAGTGAAAGCGTGCGTTCGACTACACGGTTTGCGTTCGGCTGCTGACAATGGCGATAGAAGACTGTGCCTCTAACTGCAAAGTTCCCGTCACACCTAGAGCGTACGACGCGATACAAAATGTTGACGTTGATAGCTTGGCCACTCTGCCTGAATGGGAGCTGCGGCCCCTGCTGCCATGTCTCGTTCGCATGGCGTTGTGTTCCCCACTCGATCAACGCAAGGAGTGGGGTCAGAAAAAGAAGACTGTGCTTAAAATACTCTCCGGAATTGAGCTCGTCAATTCACTCGTGGCGCTGTTGTCTATCGATTTCCACGCTCTCGAGCTTGACGTGAAGAAGGAGCAACAACTTCGGTAAAACTGTGCACGCGCGCTCTCGGCCGTTAAATTCGCAAGTTCGGAGTCGCGATGGAATCACCCTACCGCCAACTTTTCTTTCTCTTACAGATTGAAGCTTGGACCTCACTCTGGTGACAGCATATTGGTAACGTCGCTTCAAAATTCCTTGGCACTGGAGTTCGAAAGAAGTGACGCTGCCAGGAAATTGCGATTGGTGCTCAGCGAGCTTTTGGCTTTCATTGCTCAAGTGAGAACCATTGATATGCCATATATCTCTAAGCTCTGCCGCCGTTAACTAGAGGAGCTAGTTTTTTATAAATTTAAAAGCCGTTTGTGACATGCAGGGCACCCCAATGACATGTATTTATTTATTTAGTAATACTGTCAACCCTCATAGAGGTTCATAACAGACATAGAGGGTCATTTGACGTCTGGATTAGGCAGCTTGAGTTAAAAGGGCTTGACAAGTTCAGCTTATATTCGCTCGTGAGACTTGATGCCTTATTCTGATTTATTGCTGATTTCCGTCTATGTGACGTCAGTGCTTAATGGTTCAGAAATATTGTACCATTTGGAAGAATGACGTATTGAATTTCTGAGCGATACAAGTGTTGCACTGGCGCTTTCGTTTGCATAAGAACCTGTCAGGACCATGTTTCTAAATTGCAATTTACTCTGTCCCGTGCCAATAAATTAATCTTTATTGAAACTGCTCTCTGTGACATCAGTGTAATATCTCGTATTAGTGCAGTTTTCATTGTTCTCAACTGAAATGTAAATATTGGGCTGCTACATTAGACATATTAGAAGTTTATTGTCAACATTCACCACCGAGTATTGATAGTAGAGATCGGTCATTGCTGGTTGTCGCATGTAGTTGACATTCTTTCATTCGATCGCTGTGATCTGTGATGCTTATCAAGTTGTTTTTAATTTTTTATTGTGTGGAGCGTGAAAAACATGTAGGTCCATCAATACAGTCAGAATGTTGAATGTACTAGAACTAATTATTTTGTAGTTCGAAGCCAAAAGCACCTTGTACATACTTCAATCTTCACACTTCTAGGTCAAGGATAGCCGAAGTGAGGCCAGGCACAAAGACTTCAGACCTGTTCGATAATGACGTCTACCTGGATGAAGTTGCCGATGTCATGTGCATTGCTCATGCAGGTAAGTGTTCCGAAACATGGTGTGCTTTAGTACGACAAAGTTTTGCACTGGACAAGAATATATTAATTAGGCATGATTCACGTTATAATAATGCATTTATGGACGTTCTAATGCTGACAAGACACATGTGATTTCCTCCAACAATTTGTAATGTTCATGCTTGTTATATCAACGTTTGATTCGGGGATGTGTGTGTGGCCATTAGGCAAGGTGGTAGCATGTTTTCTACAGCCTTATGAAATAGTGCTGGTGTTTTCAGACAAAAATTTGCCTATTTACAGTAGCCATGACCATTTCTTTACATTATCACCACGTAGGTTAAATTTGAATGCTCTAAAAGAAGCAATGTAAAGTCAAGGTGGTGAATCATACTTCTGTAATACTAGAAGCATCAGACATACGCCTAGCATAACCTCGGTAAGGGAGAAAATGTGCAAACATTTTGTGCGGATGCAAAGTCCCCACCCTACTCCCTTACACTGTCATGGTATTCAGATGGTGTCTTTTTAATGCACCAGTCGACATGTGCACTTGCATAATTTTGTCTTTGCCTGGCCTGTTTCACTTTCTGCAGCGAATTTGCTTTACGTGCAGTTGCTCTATATAAGCATGCGCAATTTCTTTCAGAACTCCCGGGAATTCTGCACATTCAGGACATTGCGGAGACGCTAATTCACCTTAGGAATGGACCAGACCTCCTCTGTCGACTCATAGCAAACGCCCCGGACAGTTTTTCTGAGGGTGAATATAACGATTTTGTAATGCATGCATTAAACTTCTTTTGTAATGCATGTGCTTCTTTGCTAGAACATCTCTGTTTCAAGAGTTATATGTTTGAAGGGTGACAAAAAATTGAAGTGAATTGAAAGTTTGCGCCTGTCCCTGTCCAGTCTTTCTGTGTTCTTGTCATTATTTGCGCACACCAGTTTACCGTGAACTTGAGACGTTTTGCCGAATGGTCCTTTCCACGAAAACTAGCCTAGTATGTGCTCAAGATATAGTTAGCTTTCACAGCAAACTTCTAGTTTCATGCTTGCCTGCTGCTAGAGAGTGCATGCCGTAGCGTTGACACTTTATTGCCTGAATTATGAAACTGCCGAGAAAAATAAAAATTGTTTCTATTTTCCAGTTTTGAATAGCAATGTTTAAATGATTATGTAGTTAGATTATCTAAAATTTATCTAAATAGTTAAATTATCTAAAACTTTTGCGTATGTCGTGAGCTCTACATATGCCACAGAGACAAAGACCTTGCAACAAAAAAAGTACTTCAAAACTACGTAACGAGTTGTGTACCACTTCTTGAGGGCACCACACACCAAATTAACAAAATTATTGGAGATAGAACTTATGTCACTAAGACGAGAAAAAACGAAAAAGTGAGAACTGTTGCACGCACTTCGGGCTCTCTGCCATCAGCGCCACAACAATTGCTTCTATCTTATAGTACCTTGGATAAACAGTACTAGATTCTTCATGCTAAAAGCTACATGCCCCGTATCGTACTTGACAGCTGGCATTAAAGGTGGCATGCATTTCGTGACTTACTAGCTGCCACACTTCTAAGTTACTTGCTAGAAGTTTTTTAGTATGCCGCAAATTTGCACATCTGGTAGTAGAGGGTTAACAACACATTGATTTTGGGATTTGAGATTGTATGTCAAATATTTTTATTTTATTTTCGAAATAATGTAGTAATCCTCAAAAACAGTACATCTATGGCACAGTATTCTTGCATAGGAGTACTGTAGGGAAGTTTCTAAGTGACCATTTTGGCTCACTTAATCTACTGCACAAATTATTTTGCCTGCATGATTTATTTTTACTCCAACAAAATAATATTTATATTAGTAATGAGTGTTTAAAGCCACTACTATGCTGGCCGTCGGAGCCATGTTATTGTGCTCATTGTGTTCTATGAGTGGAGTGCTGGTTATGTAAGCTTTCATTTATTGAAACAAGCACCTCATCAGGTATGTATAGTCATCGCGAACAAGCAAGCCTGATACGTTGATCACGTGGTGTCAGTTTAACCCATACTAACAGTCATTTGAAAGAGACACACTGAATCAGGCTAGTTCCAATGCAGGCAACATGCAGTATTCTTGGCAAATATGGAATGCACAGAACTTATCACAACATCTGGGGTGCTGCAAATAAATGAAGAGAAATAAAGAAAACGGAGGCAGAACTTGTGACGTGAGCATGGTGTGGGCTCCTGGCCTTTGTTTTAAGAGGCTTAGAGGTGATTTTTCAATAGCAAGTGTGTTTCCTCGTGTATTTGCTGCAGTGTGCCTTGCTCTGATCTCCAATGGTGACAAGCAAGACGAGGATACGGTGGGTGGATGTGTACGCATGAACGCTCTGCATCTGCTCTGCAGGATGAACCCAGCACAGTCACTGGTGGTGCGGGCAAAAGCGGTGAGCATCATGATGAAATTTTTTCTTTTGATTCTTGTCTCTCTAAAATGTCTTTTTAAAATCCAATGATGTCTCTTTGATATCCGAGTGCAGCAAGATTTCGCTTTAGATAAATTTATGAATGAGTACTATGTTGTGTTACTCAAGTAAGCTTGCGAAAAATTGGAGGCTTGGGCCATTTGAACTTTAAATAGCAGGTTACTCACATTTCCTTCAACATTCCGGGTGTTCAGCAAATGCCACACGATTTGACGAAGTCATATTGTGTTGCTTGGATGTTAAGAGTTCTCAAGACCTTGTTCATACGTCCTTTCCGGCAAGTTCAACCTTTCCGGCAAGTGGTAAGAAACGTGCTCTTTTTCAACCTTTTATTTTTTGGTGTTGACATCAGGATTGTCTGTGAGGAAGGCCCCGCCGCGGTGGTCTAGTGGCTGAGGTACTCAGCTGCTGACCCGCAGGTCGCGGGATCGATTCCCGGCTGCGGCGGCTGCATTTCTGATGGAGGCGGAAATGTTGTAGGCCCATGTGCTCAGATTTGGGCGCACGTTAAAGAACCCCAGGTGGTCGAAATTTCCGGAGCCCTCCACTACGGCGCCTCTCACAATCATATGGTGGTTTTGGGACGTTAAACCCCACAAATCAATCATGTCTGTGAGGAAGCTTTCGGTGAAATTGCTTCGTACTTCAAATACTATAAATTTTGTGTGAGGGTCTTTCTAAAGCTGTTGTATCATTTCGAACTTCTCTAGCGTGGATTGTTAGCAAACCAATCACTCACCATGATTTATTGGACTAATCAAGATCTAATTATTTGAACTTCTTTTACGAAAGTAAGTAGACTCTTGTTAATTGGAACCTGAAGAGACCAGGAAAATGTGCTCCGTTTAACAGGAGTTCCATTTAGTGAGCGTATGTTGTACTTTACATGGCCAGAAATAAATGTAAAGGAATCGCCTTGGCTGTCTCAACTTTCCTCATTTTTCTTGGTGTTGAACGAAATTTTTTTTGACTGAGCTCTTCAATTTGTGACACTCCTTATTCAGAGTTTTTTTTAGAAAAATAACTTGTGGAAAATCTCTCAGAGAAAAAAAAAGTGTATGAGGAGTCCGTCAGGCTATGACAGGATGTGTGGGTTACGTGGTAATTCCACGATTGGGTGAGGAGGCAAAATTTTGTCGCAACATGGCAGATGACACATCTTGCATGTTCTCATCGTTTAGGAATTTTTCCATGATATGTTGCACAGAAATTGTCATATTGTAGCATATTCTGTAAATTTTCTTGCAATTTTTTTTAAGTCAGCAAAGAGAAGTGACGGAAATTTCAAGGGCGCTTGTTACTGAATAGGGTTCTGATTTAATGCCCTACTGCCATTGAACTGAGCATCTACTGATTGAGATGGCTACTGTCAATGGCTTGTTCCAGGAGTAGGCTTTGATCCAGTGAGGCTGTGCAGAGAGCGCTCTTGGATGTGCATGCTTTGCCGTCTCTGCGTAACTGGCACGACAGGAGGTTTGCCATGCTTGATGCCTCAAATTTTATTGCGATAACAATTATGTGGGCACTTTAAATGAATTTTCACCACCCATATAGATAACATGCAAAGTCCAAGTCAATAATACCGTCCCGCACATTGTACATTCTATGTGCGAGCTTACGCTTGCAGAGGCCCTGAGGGGTGCAGCTCATAACTTGAAGCGCGCCGGTCGGCTTCTGGTAGGCCAAGGAGCATGAAAGGGTGCCGGGGGTAGGGCTGCGTCACTCAGGCAGCAGCCGTGAACTTTGACCAAAAGAGCATAGTTTGTGCAGTGGTGCACAGGCTATCTCTATGGAGATCACCAGACAGCTCATATCCTTTGTATGTGCGTTTCTCTCACCACTTACTTTCGAACTAAAGCGACAGCGGGCAAATAGCTTCACTCACTGGAGAGGTAGTATTCTCCTATGCCAGCACTTTGTGGCTACACCAGACCTGGATTCCGCTAGCCTTATTTAGTCTAAAAATTCCCAGTTGTTGCTATTGCATTCATTGCTTCACCATTGCGGTGAAAACCGTGATTCTTATTGAGACGCCCTTGTGAGTTCTTTTTGCCTCGTGACTAATCGCTCTGCGGGTGGAAACCTGGCAGGTGGAGCTGTGTCGAATGCCCGGCCTGGCTGTCCTGCTGAGCCTGGACCACTGCCGCAGCACGGAAAAGAACGACGAGCTCAGTTCTGCCGGAGACTTGGTGGCCTTTGTGAGTGGCCTCTTGCTCGGCAGTGACGACAAAGTTCGCACCTGGTTTGCCCAGTATGTGCGAAGTTGCCAGAAGGTGAGCATGGAACTAGCGAACATTTTCTTTCTTTCCTATCTCAGGCAAAGAAATAAAGAAAAAATATAATGTTGCCGCCGTTAACTTCTAACGGGGAAATCAGTACTTTTGTTACACGTTCAAATTTAGTGTTGTGAATGCATTTTAGTGGATTGCTTGCAACTTTGGTGAAATATTGCTACACAGAAAGAAAAGTGTAGTTTGTAATTAATTCTGACGACGATAGGTGAATCAGTTGGCACTTTATATATTTAGTATCTTAAACTATGTCTGTTGAGTAATAGGGTGCTGTAGTTATGAACACTGTTTAGAATGCCATATGAGTCCAAATAAGATGCTACAAATGCATTGACATCATTGATTACTACTGGTAGTGGTATTAATGAAAGTGCTGCTCCGAAGTAAACAATGACAATGGCATTACGTGACTTTGACAAGGATGCCGATTGTGGCCATAAAAGCACAATAGGGAGAATAGTAATTTTTTTTACTAATATATAAATATTAAACCAATGGCTTAAACTTCATATTGTTAAACATTTGACAGCCTGCACATGACGCTAGTAATGTTGTGCCCATGCTCTAAATGGCACTAAATTTGCCTGTGTTATCTAACTATGGTAGCCTTGTCAGGTTTTTGTTACACTTGTACCACACATGGCATGCAATGCTACAAAGGCCATTTCACTTTTCATATTCACTTCGATACCTGATGCTTTCTTGCTTTCATTATTAATACATTTAAAGTAAAACATAATCAAAATGTGCATCATTTTAGAATCTTACCTTTTTTGAAAATGCAGTTATGAAAAAGTACGCAGTACTTCTGAGCATTTAAATTCTTTCATTTCTGTACCTTCTCCATGACTGTGGTTACTAAGTAAATGAAGGAACGAATTAATGAACAAATAAGTAAACAAGTTCTGTGGCAGTTACTTTTGGAGTTGTACTAATTTTCAGCACATGTCGATAGGCTGGTTAGGGGTAGGCGAGTCTAACCGCTTCAATCACTGACGCCGCTTCAGTCTCTGAATACGCAAAAGTATGCCTCGCACGAAGTGGCACTGCCGCTGACTGTGATTGTGTTGCAATATGAGGCCCTGGAAGATTTTATTCTTTCTATAGCAATTATATGGACACACTCGGCTGGATTTTGCCGCTGGCATCGACGTGGGCATCGCCGTCACTCACCGTATATGTATACGTATCTATATGTATATATGTAAACGCAAGAAAGAAAAATAATCGAGAAAAAGACTTTGGCAGACGGAATCGAACTTGGGGCCTCTGGACCGTGAGTGCAAGGCGTTGACCACTGAGCCAACGGAGGAGCCCCTCCAACGTTCAAACGGCAAGCTTTCTATATCTGCCACTTACCACTGCTGACGGACATCTCGGGGGGAACTATCAAGTTTGCCGCGTTACCAGCAAGATGGTGCAATAAACGCGCTTCGCCACATCGTAAGGATGCAACGGCACGTGCTCTCATCACCCACGCGTACTTTGTGCCGCGGAAAGGAAGGGGGCGATGCTCACTCACTCGTGCGCCCTTATCTCGCGGTGGGGAGTATCGTACGTCTTGGTACGTCTTGGCTGGCCTTGGGCTTTCATTGGAACGATTCTGCTGTGGTTACCGGGCGCACAAAGGTCACTGCGATCGTTGCACACTCTCCGTTTGCGAAAATGGTGCGCTTTTTAGATACAGGAAAGTAACAACTGAGACGCTTATTCGCCTTCATCTGTACCTGTGAGTACGTTTCATGCATCATTTGTGTGTAAAAAACGTGGGGCACGTTTCGATCTGCTTGCCATTCTGCACGTGACCTTCCCATTTATTGCTATCGCATTCATTGCTTCGCTTTTGTGGAAAAGCTGTGACATTTTTTTTTTTTGTCACAGAAAGGAGAATCGGGCAAGGGCAGCACCCTGCAGGCCCTGCGTGAGGAGCTGCTGTCGCGGCTGCAAGGCCTGCTCCTCTCCAGCCTCGAGCAGCACGACTTGCCCGACTGTAGGGCAGTGCAGGCCAACGCCCTGCTACGCCTCTTCTGTGCCCTACGGGGCATCGCCGCTCTCAAGTCAGTCTATTTTTTTTTGTCAGCTTGCACACCTTTTAGGTGGATGTGTACACTCAAACCTTGGTATAACGAACTCGAATATAACGAAATAAGTTGAATAGCCTTGCAATACCAGCCATGGGGGTCTAGTGGCTAAGACACTTCGGTGCTACCTGTACTTAGATTCAGGTGCACGTTAAAGAAACCCAGGTGGTTGAAATTTTCGGAGCCCTCCATTACGGCGTCTCTCATAATCATATAGTAGACTCTCACTGAACAAAAATCTGTTTAAAGAAACCACTGCTTAAATGGAACCATTACCTCTGCAACACTTGGTTTCGGGTTTGTATTGTGCACCTATATTCACCTTTCAGTAAACTTAACTCCTGTTAAATGGAACATATTTTTCCGGTCCCTTCAGGTTCCATTTACTGAGAGTCTACTGTATTATGGCTTTGGGATGTTGAACCCGAACAGCTGTTATTATTATTATTAGTTTTTGTTTTACAGTAGATATAGTGTTAGGAATACTCCTTTATAACAAATTTTGGTTATAGCAAACTTATTTTCGTGTGCGATGCAATTTTGTTATAAGGAGGTTTGAGCGTAGTTTGCAGTTGTCGAGCTGCGCGAAAGCTTCGCATGAGAACTTAAAATTCGAGTTTGCCGCGTTGTTAACTGGCAAACGCCCTTGTGTACAACAAGAGAAGTATTTCGTTTCTCTGTACTATACCGTATTTACTCGATTCTACCGCGCCCTCGATTGTAACGCGCACCCGATTTCCACCGCGAAAAAAAAAAAAAACGTAAGACATCGATTGCAACGCGCACCCGTTTTTTCTCGCTGGCCCGCATGATCACACCACTCGAAAAAACGACTCCTTTCGGGAGCGTCTTCCATTTAAATATGAGGTACGGGCGAAGCTTGTGCCCATCTGACGTGTAACAGAGCATTGCCGTCACTGTAGTTTTACCGTGGACCGATGTCAGCACGCGAACTTGCTTCGCCCCCTTCTTCTCGACGGTTGTGGTGCCAGGCATGTCGAAGTAAAGAGGCGTCTGATCGGCATTCCCGATTTGCCCAAGCAGGTAGTCGTTGTTGCGCCGCAAGTTTAGGACGAACCTCTGAAAACTGTGAAGCTTTTCATCGTACTCCTCCACAAAACTTTTCGCATATGCATGTTCCCCTTCGGAGGGAAAAGCCTTTCCTCTTCATGAAGTTAGTTAGCCAGCACCTGCTCGCTTTAAACTGGCTCCGCATTAGACCTTTTTCTAAGACTAATTGCATAGCCCGCACTTGGAGCAGTTCTGCCGTCACGGGCCGCTGTGCTGCTCGCTGCTAAAGCACATACTCGCCGAGCAGCTCTTTAATTTGCGGAAACCCACCCTGCTGTGGTCCACTGAAGCCTTTGCGTAAAGCTTTGCTGTCGAAAATCTTCTGCTTTTGCTTCCGCCGGTCCTGCACGCACGTTTCGGGAACTCCGAACGACCGCGATGCGGCCCGATTTCCGTCCGTTTCTGCACACGCGATGACTTTTCTTTTAAAAGCGGCATCGTGGTGCACTCGAGTTTTTGGAGTCGGCCATTCCACGCCGTCGATGCTAATGCACTACTAGATGACGAATCTGTTGTGTTCTGTAAAATGCTTGCAGTTAAAAAAAAAAAACAACTGTGAAGAGAGTGACAGACGCAGTGTCAACAGTTCTCTGAAAGCATGTTGGAAATAACGTTGTTCAGGTTTTTGATTAATTAAAGGGAAAAGTTATTTGGTGTTTCAGATTCTTCTTTGTATGCCAAAGCTACAAGTTTTCATCTTTTTTTAAGGGGTGGCATTTAGTTTTCAAGAGGAGCTAATTTAAATGGTTGCATTTTACTTTTATTAACTGTTCATCCTGTTGATAAGTGTTTAAGGTAAGTGTTCATTCATGTTGACCCCAATATACTAATCTCTGTATTCGAGGTGACGAAAGTTACTTTTAAGTCTACTAGTATAGTTCCACTAGAAATTCCAGAAAAGACTTACCGTAATCGTAGCCTCCAACAAAGATCTCACAAATTTGGCAGCAATTACGTAAAAAAATGTTAATCTGCATCAATCTTTGTGCGTGTCAAGCCAACTCGTCGTGTTTGCGATGCAGGTTCACAGAAGACGAGATAGTGGTACTGATGCAGCTTCTGACGTCGCACCCTCCCCCGAGCGCCGCCGGCATTCGGTTTGTGTCGCTTGGACTGTGCATGTTGCTCGCCTGCCCGTCCCTAGTATCCAGCCAAGAGCACGAGCGCCAGGCAACTCAGTGGATACGCTGGCTCATGAAGGAGGAGAGCTACTTTGGCAGGTCGGCCTTCGCTAATTGTTGCATTGTTCATGTACAGTTAATTATTAATTTAGCAAACACCATGGGACCTGGGAGTTGCCAAGTTAAAGCGAGAATTTTATTTCTTTTGTCGCATTCGCAGTTCCATGTCATTGATGTGAAATCAGCGCCAAAAGTTCAGTGATCACAAAACGCAAGAGAAAGCTGAATACTATTCCTTCTGCTTCGGCAGGTAGCCATAAATACAGAGCTGAGGACTGTTCGAAAATGGACTAGCATGTGTTGAGCAGTTCTACCGAATACAGTTAAAAATTGCTTGAAAATCCAAATTTTGCTGGACCTAGTGTGTCGTAACTTTCAACGCCAATTGTGCTTTGGCAGGTCCAACCACTCAGCACTACGTGCCTCTAGTGCAGTAGTTCTCAAGTTAGGGTCCGCAAAGCCATTTCTGTGATTCGTGAAACCCTCACCCGCATTTTTTTTTAATCGTGACTGTGCTATGTATTGATGAACTGTCCAAAATGAAGTGATGTGGCAGGTTTTTTCATGTTTTTGGTAGCAATAAAAGGCACCTGTTTCACGCTCCAGGTGTGTTAATTTATCTATGTACCCCTCTCCTCCCTACCCTCCGCTGCAAGGGGTCCCCCATTACTTCAACCAGCCCACAAGAGGTCCCCGACACATTCATGGCTATGAACCACTGCTCTAGTGTATGCATGTTTTATTTTCAGCTTTTTGGTAGGGCACTCTTTGTTCTGTTTGAATTGTGCTTTCAGATATAATGAAAAATTTTTGTACATTTTTTTATTTCTCCAATTTTCTCACTGGAGCACGCAGTAAGTGCAGCTGACAGGTGACAAATCTCCGTGGCAATGCTTACCTGTTGTCTTATTAAGCTTTTATCGATTTCTTATATTTTATGGTGCAAAGGATACTTACACCAAAAGATACTAGAGACTCACTAGTGACTCTCAATAAATGGAACCTGAAGGGACCAAGAAAGCATGGTCTGTTTAGCAGGAGTTTCATTGAGGGAGAGATGAACACCGACATAGAATTCAGGTATGCAACCAATCATATTGGAGGCAGCTATTCCATTTAAGCTGTAGTTACGTTTTACAAATTTTTATTTACTGAGAATCTAGTGTAGCGCACGAGAGAAGCATTATTTGCCATAAAAAGCAGCTGAAGGGTAACTGGCATTCAGCGGTTGCCATCCCTTCAGGTCTTTCGATCGAGAGCTTCCAGGAAATTGTGATTGTCTATAATGCTTTCTGGAGTATTGTAAGGCCCTGTCTCTTCCTACTTTTCAAGTACACGGTGCAAGGGAGCATGCGCGTGTGTTTTGTAAAATTGACAGGCTTAAGTGTGTTGGGGGCATCTGACCATGCCCCAATGAAAAGCTTACAGATGCAGAGCAAAGATTGTGGTGGCAATAATAATGTTGGCATGCAAGACCACTAATGAAAACACTTATAGAAACAAAACTGATGCTCTGACAACAACAAGGACATTAAAACATGATGTTTACTAAAGTTAGCTTGATGGTAAAGCAGTTTTAAAGGTTATCCTCATGCTGATATAGTACTACCTAAGAAGCAGTCCTAGTTTGCAGGCAGAGTACAGAAGAGTGCCTGCGGTTCATATCTTCATGTGTGGTTGACCTACGGGCTTGTGGAAATGGTTCACATTCGTACATGTCCCTGCAGTATGCTTCTAATTGTATTGGGCTAAATCAAATGGCTATTGGGGTAAATCAAACCTGTCATTATATCATACTTAGTTTAATATGTTATAATAGAATGTTATACTTCCTCTACCATGTCGCTGAGAGCGGCCTTTCATTTTATGTCTGTTTATTATAATTCTTTTATTGCTCCTGGTTGTTAAGTATTTTTATAATTGGTTGTTTTGTCTAACATACCCATGATTTTATTTTCTATTCATGAGCACCGTCATCTAGGTCTGATAAGCATTTGTTGTTCCAGCTATGTTGTGGTAAGAAATAATCATAGCTTGAAAACGTTGAATGAACCAGTCAAAGCGTTTTCGTTCATGTGAGTTCACTGCAGAACTGTTTGTTTATTTGATGCGGATATAAGCTACAACATTATCAGTCCAAAGTGGCGGAAGTAGAGCACGCACAGGGTAGAGTATATCACCTCAGTGCAGTGGTGCCATTCACGTTATCACTGTTGTCATATTTCTTCGTTTATTTCAATCACAGGACAAGCGGTGTGAGTGCTTCATTCGGGGAGATGTTGCTGCTGATAGCGATCCACTTCCACAGCAACCAGCTGACCCCCATAGCCGACCTGGTGTGCTCCACGCTAGGCATGAAGATACCCATTCGACCAAACAGCTTGGCCAAGATGAAGAGCATCTTTACCCAAGAACTCTTCACAGATCAGGTGGTTTAACTGGCTGCTCACTAGATCTTCGCACGCACGCCGAGATGTTTCCAGGTGTTATCCAAAATAATGTCACAAGTTTATTAAATCATGGTGGGTACAAGTTGTAAAATTTCAAACGAATACTGGAAAAAACATGAGGATTAAGAAAAATTGTTAGGCAACACGATCATTCAACTGAGATAGAACGAAAACAGTATTGCTGTTATTGTAGTAGGTGGTTAACGGCCATCCTTTTGCCTACACTACTCAGTGCTGATTGTATGCGAGTAATTATGACAGTGCCACTAAGTCCGAAATCTTCATACTTTGTTAATGAATCTATGTGGGAGAGCCCAGGAAAGCATTATTTGCAGTATTGAATAGTATTTGCAATAACATGCAAAGATAAATATGCCATGTCATACTTATTGGACTCGTTATTATCATATGCGACTGTTAACTCAGATAATTTATACTTTGTCAAGAATATTACTATAAAGACATCTAGGCATGAATAAGACAGTCAGACAAACACAGGATGGAAGCAGCACCGTGAAAGAGTTATGAATGTAGTAAGAGTTTCTGTACAGCACTGTAGGGTGTTCTCGTCTGAATAGTTTGCCGTAGTATTTGTGCATTGCCTTTGGTCAAACAAAAAACAACTCTTGACTGCCTTACAGTCAATGCTGTTGCGTCTTGCCTACTTGTATGACTGTTTTTTTTCTGCTTTGTCTTGGTTCAGGTGGTTACGGCGCATGCAGTCAAAGTCGCAGTCACCCCAAGCCTGAATGCCAACACTGCGGGCTTCCTTCCTGTTCACTGCATCTACCAGCTTCTCAAAAGCAGGGCATTCACCAAGCATAAGGCGAGTGTTGCTTGTATCACGTCTTCTACTTAACAGCAGTGCTACCATCAGTTTCAGCCCTGCCGCAAGGGTCTAGTGGCTAAAATACACCGCTGCTGACCCGCAGGTCGCGGGATCAAATCCCGGCTGCGGCGGCTGCATTTTCGATGGAGGCGAAAACGTTGTAGGCCCGTGTGCTCAGATTTGGGTGCACTTTAAAGAACCCCAGGTGGTCGAAATTTCCGGAGCCCTCCACTACGGAGTCTCTTATAATCATATGGTGGTTTTGGGACGTTAAACCCTACATATCAATCAATCATCATCAATATGCCACCAGTTTCATTTTAACCTGAGTCATTCTCAAGTTTTGTTAGATACACTCAAGCCTCATTAAAACAAAGTTGCATCTTGTAAGAAAATAAGTTTGTTATATCCAAAAATTCGTTATAAAGGTAAACAGTCGAGCCCGCATATAACGGCCCCACCTAAAACGAACTTTCACTTAGAACGAAAAATATCCGCGGGACCATGAAAATATACATTGGTTCAATGGTACTAAATCGCACTTACAACGAACGTTTGAGCGCTGCCAATCGGTTACAGCGAACCGGGTCGGCGCTCTGCCGACTACCCGGGAAACCCTTTTTGACCACTGAGCAGGCATTGGCGAGGTGCCCGTACGTTCTTATTGTTAAACTGTGACCCTGCCTCCACGCCCCTCTAGTTGCCGCTCTCCCCTACTGCTTTTTGTTACGTACCCTCCGTCCTTTGTACCCCCGCTACTCTGAGCACCCCACATCGCCAGACGAGGCCAATGTTCCAATGTTTTCACACCGCCACCAATCTTTCGAAGACCGGTCAACCATCTCCCCTGTTTTTGATCGCTGGTACTGTCATTGGCGTCGCCGGCCTGGAGTGACCAGACGATTTGCCAACATGGTTGGCCACCGACTGTATCCGATCGTCTGTGTCTTGTGCATGTGCGTATGCTACCCCACCAACTTTTGATAATTCGCGATTCGTTTACTAAGATGGGAAAAAAGAAGTAAGACATTAGCGCAAAGAAATAAGTACTGTGTTTCTGTGTCTACGTTCATGTTGAAAGTATTGCTTGTAGTGCAGTGTTTCATCGTGTTAAATTTGGAATAACATTTATAAAAAGGTTTGGGCATTCAATATTAACCTGGATTCGTGCATTGTTGCTTCTGTAATAGCCTTAGCTGAGTTACAGAATGTTAAAACGCCATGGGCCTGTTAGTTAATTGTAATCAAATAGTCACCATGAGCCAGCGATTGTTTGAAGTGGTTAAACAAGCGCTAATGTGTGATTTATAGTGGTTGAAAGGAAAACCAAGTTCAGGTTAATACAAAAAGCTTGATTTTAGAGCATGGAATTGCTTACACAAATTATTTTATTATTGAGCTCGCTGGTTTGATAATGAGTCACTGAGGAGGGAATTTCCGCTGCTAGCAACGAGAGGACAAAGTTTATACTTTTACGAGTTGTGGCATCCACAACTGTGTTGCTTGATTGGGATGACAGGTGCGCATCAAGGATTGGGTGTTCAAGCAGATCTGTGCCAGCACGGCCCCTCTGCATCCGATCCTTCCGGCATTGGTCGAAGTGTATGTCAACTCGGTCATCGTGCCCAGCTGCAAGAACTCAGCCCAGGAGATGACCAATGAGCCACTGTCTGAGGAGGAGATTGCTTCTATGTTCGGCACTTCTCTTCAGGACGGCACATCACCCAATGGTGGGAAACCGGGTGTGTGTGTTTGTGTGTGTGTTGTTGCTTGAGCATGCATGTTGGTGTATGCATGTTGCGTGACATGTTGTGCTGGGTTGCTTGAATTGATTTTGACTGTTGTACCACTGTCACTAGTATTGCGCTGCTGTACAAGCGGTGATATTCACGCATGGGATGAAAAACTTTCGAGCTTATTTCATCAGTGTAGAAATTCGGGCTTGTTGATGTAACATTTGCGGTCTTTTTATGCAGCACAGAATATGCATGGGCATAGAACAGACACACACAAGGCACACATGACACAAACAAACACTTCGTGTGTGTGTTCTAACACATACTGTTAGGTCTGAGGGCTGATGGTATCCTACCGCTGCCACCAAGTTGCTGTGATTGTAGCAGGTGGTTTACGGCCATCCTTTTGCCTACACTACTCGGTGCTGATTGTATGCGAGTAAATATGGACAGTTGTACTAAGTCAGAAATTTTCATACTTTGTTACTGAATCTATGTGGGAGAGCCTAGGAAGGCATTATGTGCGGTATTGAATATTATTTTCAACAACATGCAGAGATAATTATGCCATGTCGTACTAATCAGACTTGTTATTATCTCATGTGACTGTTAACTCAGGTAATTTATACTTTGTCGAGAATATGACTATAAAGACATAGGCACGAATAAGACTGTCAGACAAACACAGGATGGAAGCAGCACCATGAAAGCGTTATGAATGTAGTAAGAGTTTCTGTACAGGACTGTAGGGTGTTCTCGTCTGCATAGTTTGCTGTAGTATTTGTGCATTGCCTCTGCTCAAACAAAAAACTACTCTTGACTGTCTTGCAGTCAATGCTGTTGAGTCCTGCCTACTTGTATGACTGTTTCTTTCTGCTTTGTATTGGTTCAGGTGGTTACGGCGCATGCAGTCAAAGTCGCAGTCACCCCAAACCTGAATGCCAACACTGCGGGCTTCCTTCCTGTTCACTGCATCTACCAGCTTCTCAAAAGCAGGGCATTCACCAAGCACAAGGCGAGTGTTGCTGCATTACATATTCTACTTAACAGCAGTGCTACCATCAGTTTCAGCCCTGCCGCAAGGGTCTAGTGGCTAATGTACCCGGCTGCTGACCCGCAGGTCGCAGGATCGAATCCCTGCTGCGGCGACTGCATTTTCGATAGAGGCAAAAATGCTGTAGGCCCGTGTACTCATATTTGTGTGCACGTTAAAGAACCCCAGGTGGTTGAAATTTCCGGAGCCCTCCACTACGGAGTCTCTTATAATCATACGGTGGTTTTGGGACGTTAAACCCTACATATCAATCAGTCATTATCAATATGCCACCAGTTTCATTTTAGCCTGAGTCATTCTCAAGTTTTGTTAGATACACTCAAACCTTCCTATAACATAGTTGCATCTTGTAAGAAAATAAGTTTGTTATATCCAAAAATTTGTTATAAAGGTATACAGTCGAGTCTGCATATAACGGCCCACTTAAAACGAACTTTCGCTTAGAACAAAAAATATCCGCGTTACCATGAAAATATACATTGGTTCAATGGTACTAAATCGCACTTACAACGAACGTTTGAGCGCTGCCAATCGGTTACAGCGAACCGGTCGGCGCTCTGCCGACTACCCGGGAAACCGTTTTGACCACTGAGCAGGCAGTGGCGAGGTGCCCCGTACGTCTTATTGTTAAACTGTGACCCTGCCTCCACGCCCCTCTAGTTGCCGCTTCTCCCCTACTGCTTTTTTTGTTAACGTACCCCTCCGTCCTTTGTACCCCCGCTACTTGAGCACCCCACATCGCCCAGTCACGAGGCGCACAATGTTCCAATGTTTTCACAACCCCGCCACCAATCTTTCGAAGACCCACGGTCACCATTCTCCCTGGTTTTTGATCGCTGGTACTGTCACTTGGCGTCGCCGGCCTGGAGTGACCAGACGATTTGCCAACATGGTTGGCCACGACTGTAGCCGATCGTCTGTGTCTTGTGCATGTGCGTATGCTACCCCACCAACTTTTGATAATTCGCGATTCGTTTACTAAGATCGGGAAAAAAGAAGTAAGACATTAGCGCAAGAAATAAGTACTGTGTTTTCTGGTCTACGTTCAGGTTGAAAGTATTGCTTGTGTGCAGTGTTTCATCGTGTTAATGTGGAATAACATTTATAAAAAGGTTTGGGCATTCAATATTAATCTGGACTCGTGCATTGTTGCCTCTATAATAGCCTTAGCTGAGTTACAGAATGTTAAAACGCCATGGGCCTGTTAGTTGGCTGTAATCAAACAGTCACTGAGAGCCAGCGATTGTTTGAAGTGATTAAACAACCACTAATGTGTGATTTATAGTGGTTGAAAGGAAAACCAAGTTCAGGTTAATACAAGAAGCTTGATTTTAGAGCATGAAATTTCTTACACAAATTATTTTATTATTGAGCTCGCTGGTTTGATAATGAGTCACTGAGGAGGAGATTTCCGCTGCTAGCAACGAGAGGACAAAATTTATATTTTTACGAGTTGTGGCATCCACAACTGTGTTGCTTGATTGGTATGGCAGGTGCGCATCAAGGATTGGGTGTTCAAGCAGATCTGTGCCAGCACGGCCCCTCTGCATCCGATCCTTCCAGCGTTGGTCGAGGTGTATGTCAACTCGGTCATCGTGCCCAGCTGCAAGAACTCCGCCCAGGAGATGACCAATGAGCCACTGTCTGAGGAGGAGATTGCTTCTATGTTCGGCACTTCTCTTCAGGACGGCACATCACCCAATGGTGGGAAACCGGGTGTGTGTGTTTGTGTGTGTGTTGTTGCTTGAGCATGCATGTTGGTGTATGCATGTTGCGTGACATGTTGTGCTGGGTTGCTTGAATTGATTTTGACTGTTGTACCACTGTCACTAGTATTGCGCTGCTGTACAAGCGGTGATATTCACGCATGGGATGAAAAACTTTCGAGCTTATTTCATCAGTGTAGAAATTCGGGCTTGTTGATGTAACATTTGCGGTCTTTTTATGCAGCACAGAATATGCATGGGCATAGAACAGACACACACAAGGCACACATGACACAAACAAACACTTCGTGTGTGTGTTCTAACACATACTGTTAGGTCTGAGGGCTGATGGTATCCTACCGCTGCCACCAAGTTGTTGTGACTCCGGGTCCAGCAGGTCTCGTTTTTGGTAGCAGGCCCTTGTCGTAGGACCCATCATCTAACAAGCCAGAAGAGGCATTCGTAAGAGTGACAAAGATTTATTTACATAGTTAGGAACGGAGAAGTCGACACAAGGTGATCAAGTGATCAAACAAGTAAAAGCTTGTCGAAGAACTGAAATTATACAAAATGTCTTTCGCTTATACACTCTAACCTTGTTATAATGAAGTTGAAGGGGAGCCACAATTATTTCGTTATATCCATTATTTAGTTATATCAATTTTAACAGTTTGTGGCAATTCATGCTCAGATGGGCGCACACCTATAAGCATGCAAAAAAAGAAACCGCCTCGCGGCCCGATGTACTGCTATGCGACCACTTGTGCGACGGAAAATAAACACAGTCGAACCTCATTAATTCGAACACGTCTAATTCGAACTTTCGGTTAATTTGAACTTACGCTGAGGTCCCGTCAAAGCTGTGTGTAGTATTCTAATAATCGAAAACGCCCTGTAATTCGAACGCGCAAGCACTTGCGACGGTTCATTCGAACATATCACGCTCCGAAAATGCTCTCAGCACCATGCCCAATCTTGCGGCAGCACCTCTCAACGCTGTGCGTGAAGAAAGAAAAGGAAAGAAAAGACTGTGGTGGATTGTTTGCTCTCTCTCAAATGCCAATCTGTGACGTGCCTGTGCCAGGCTTCTCCCTTTTCCGTCTCTGCATGTAGAGACCCTTCTCCTTTCAAAGCCGCGCGCAGGGAGAAAAAAAAAGAAGAAAAAAAGCTGTCGTGGAGAGTCCTCCTTTCTCGGTTCAGAGGGTAGCAGTGAAGACGCAGTCGTTTCTGTCGTCTTTAGAGTGTGTTGGCACTGGACTTAGCCATGCGCTACTATGCTTTGCAAACTACGTGCAAAATTGATCGACTCACTGCAAGGCAAGTGTGTGCAGACGCACATCACTGATTGCTTCAATTAATGATGGATGTCCTCTGATTTGTGAATAATTGTAAGTCTTCTGAAGTTTCCCCATCGTGTGTTCTTATTAGTGAAAGGGAAATCTCTATGCACTGCGGCGCCGCTTCTTGGTCATATGACCCGCTGAGCACTTTTTCTATCTTCTTTGCTGGCTGTGTGAAGAGTATGGCTCTCTCGGGCGCACGTGGCGTGGCTGTAAGGTCGGCGCCGTAGTTTTGAAAGAGCTGCGCCTTATGAGCGCCAAACTCCATAGAAAACGATATACTTAACACATTATGGTTGGTTTCTTTTTTTGATAGACTATTTGATGGACTAATTTAGTTCGTTATATCCATTTACTGTTCAATTTTACTTTGTTACAACGAGGTTTAAAATACATGGTTCTCAATGGAGCTTTCAAGGAGAATTCCATTTACTTTGTTATATCTATTATTTTGTTATATCCCGTTATGTTATAACGAGGTTAGAGTGTATAGCGCCGCGTTGCTAACCCTGGGTGCATTGTCCGCATGTTGAACCACTAAGGTTCTCGATGCTCTTGGCGCTGCACCCACAAAGACGAGGAAATACATCACACAACGCACGTGAAGAGGGCACAGTCTAAACGATGCCCAAATATGGGCACGAACGCACAACACCAAGGTCTTGCACACGACACCAAGATTTTGCACTCGTACGACGATCCTAGCTAATCTAGGTTCCAAGAACTCTCCCGGCAAGGGGTTAAAGCTCAAAAAGACCTGCTCCCAGGGACACATACCAACTTGCCTGTCTGCTTTGGGTAGAACAACGTAGCGGCCTGACAGGTTTATCTTCAAACATGCCACCCCATGTAGCAGATACCATGGAGAGAGGGGTAATGAGGAGTGGTCGACTAATCCCTCGTTGTTTGCTAGGAGTTACTATTGAATACCTGCAAATTTATGAGGCTTTGCTCTCCTTCAAAGCTGCAGCAGCAGCTGGTTTAGTCATAGCTGCCACCCTAAATAGCAAATACCATGGTAACTTCGAAAATGGCCTCGTTGCTTGTCCGTTGTACTTTGTATGGAGTCGAGGTCGCAATGGCTTTTCATGTCTCGTTGTTGTTCTTCGCGCCGAACCGGTTCATTTGCACCCTTGTTGACAGAGTGATAATCAGCCCGTCTCAACTGCGCACCCTTGCTTGAAATGCGTCATGAACTCTTCGCCAGGTTCACAGCCGCTGAAAGAATTGTGATGCTGATAATGGTCATAACAGTACTCTTTTTTTTTTGTGCCGCACAAAAAGGCTGCAAATGTTAGTGCATAATTTTCTTTTCTAATTTTAAGCATTATATTGGCTCAACGAAAACCAGGATACCAAGAATATGTGGTCGCTTACGCGAGTCGAACCCTCAAGAAAGCCGAGTGTAATTATTCCGTCACTGAGAAAGAGTGCCTCGCAATTGTCTGGGCTTTGACGAAGTTTCGCCCATACCTTTATGGCCGCCCTTTCGAAGTCGTCACGGACCACCACGCTCTATGCTGGCTATCATCGCTCAAAGACCCGTTGGGGCGCCTTGGTCATTGGGCGCTTCGCCTGCAGGAATACGACATTCGGGTTGTATACTGATCCGGCCGCAAGCACTCCGACGCTGATGCGCTATCTCGCTCGCCGCTACCGGCTGACCCAACCTTCTCGTCACCTTCTTCAGCTGTCATAAAACCAATCGACTTCGCAGACATGGCATCGGAACAACGCAAAGATGTGTGGATTTCCCAACTCCTCACCTTTCAGACTGATCCGTTTGCTAATTCGGTCTCAAGAACTATCTGCCGTCAAGCCACACATTTCGCTATTCGAGACGACCTCCTCTTTCGGCGGAATTACACGTCTGAAGGTCGGAGGTGGCTGTTAGTGATACCCAACCACATGCGCTCGGAAATCTGTACTGCTTTCCACAACGACCCGCAAAGCGCTCGCGCCGGCGCTCTCAAAACGTACAACCGTCTACGTCAGCGGTACTACTGGCGCGGCATGTACACATTTGTTCGCAAGTACGTACGTGCTTGTACTGCATGCCAGCGATATAAAGCCCCACCTCAACGCCCTGCCGGTACACTTCAGCCTCTGCCTTGTCCAGCGCGTCCATTTGACCGTGTCGTTATCGACTTATACAGACCACTTCCCACGTCGTCTTCTGGGAATAGGTGGATAATTGTTGGCGTGGACAACCTCACGCGTAACGCGGAGATGGCAGCACTACCCGCAGCAATTGCGAGGGAAGTTGCGTTTTTCATCTTGCGCAACTTTGTTCTTCGCCATGGTGCTCCCCGCGAACTTTTGAGCGACCGGGGGCATGTTTTCTTGTCTGACGCCATTCAAGCCTTGCTTGCTTAGTGCAACATGGTTCATCGCATGACGACAGCATATCACCCGCAGACGAATGGCTTCACAAAACGATTTAATCGCACTCTCGGTTATATGTTGACGATGTACACAGCTTCAGACCAGACCAATTGAGACACTGTCCTTCCATTCGTCACGTATGCGTATAACACCGCTATGCACGCGACAACAGGGTTTTCCCCTTTCTTTCTGTTGTACGGACGTGAAGCATCGTGCAAGCTGGACACTATCTTCCCATACACGCCCGACTCCTCTGAGTACACTGCAATTTCTGATGTTGCCAGGTATGCAGAAGATTGCAGACGATTGGCCCGTTCACTGACAACCGAGAACCAAGGCCACCAGAAGCTACGGCATGACACCGACCGACATCTCTCCACTTTCACGACAGGTGCTCTCGTTTGGCTCTGGATTCCACCGAGTACTCCTGGCCTTTCGTCAAAATTACTGGCACGATACCACGGGCCCTACCGCATTCTCGCTCATACGTCACCAGTCAATTATGAGATTGAGCTTTTGACACAGTCTGATGACTTACGCCATCGTGGCCGAGAAATTGTGCATGTGAGTCGCCTGAATCCATATTACGATTGCGCTATAGTGACTACGCCTCAAGTCGCCAGGTTGGCTACGCTATTCACCGGGGGCCAATGTAGGGAACTATGCGAACGACGACAAAGCAGCAAGAAACGGCAAGCCACAGCGTTGGTGCACACGTGCACCTCGAGCTTGCGCTTGTTTGTATTTTCGGCCTGTTGACGTTCCTCGCTCTACTGGCGTTCCTCGGCCTTCCAGTAGGTCTGTACGTAAATAAACTACGTGACATCATGTTGATGGGCTCTTGAAAGGGTTACTTCCTGAGACAATTTATAGTTGCTGGCTAGTCTCTCTCTAACTAGATGTGCTTGTTCCGCACTAATAATACCTTTGTGGCCTCTATTTCAATGCAGGTTCAAGCCCTCGAGATGACAGTGGAGACATGACAGTACCTCAGCTGCTGCTTCTGTACTACCTACTGCTGTACGAAGACACCCGGCTCAACAACATGAAGGCTATCGTGTCTTCTGGTCGCAAGGTGTGTGTGGGAACCTGAAAAATTAAATTAAGTCCATAAATATCAATGCAGCCATACTTGGTATACAGTAAAAGCAGCTTTTATTTCTGTACACTCCAACCCCTTTATAAGAGACACTGATATAAAAGACAAATGGCTATAAGAGACACTAGGGTGCCTACAGTAAAATTCGGGTTGATAAGAAAATGCATACAAAGTGCCCTGCTTATGAAAGACATCTCACATAAAGGACCAGGATTGCTGCCTCGAGCATGCATTTAATAAAGTGGTTTAACTGTATAAGAATGCATAGAAAAGTACCCCATTCTGGCACAACTGAATTTTCTCCATTGGAAATTCACTTTACCCTATGTTTCTTGCATCTTCGAGATCACAAGTGCGAAATGGATTCAAAATTTTCTATTCTTCCACTAGTTGTTTAAGTTTACAAGCTTCTGTGTAAGAACCCTATTCTGTGTTCTGTGTAAGAACAATATACTCATATAAAGAGCTAATACCCAACCATCTACACTCAAACCTGTTTCAACACCTTGCACATTTAATCCTAACTTGCAGTGCAGGTACAATCTGAAATGTTGTGAGAGATGTGAGGGAGATGTTTCAAAAGTCATTATTTTCATATTTGTGAGTCCAGTCAGGGGAGTGGCACATCGCACTTCAGTTTTCATTTAAAGAAAGGAAGCACAAAAAATGAAATCATGGGATGGCAATGCAATCATGCATGTTTAGGAGTTTGCTCAGGTTTAATCGTATGCACTGCGCATTAGCTCGTGTAAACAAACTCTGCTGAATGAACTAGAAACGCTGCTCTTTCGTGTGTGTGACCCAAAACAAAAATGAGAAAAATTTAGGCGCAAAGTAGGGATGTAAGCAAAGAAAGAAAATTTTTTCGAGGGGCTCGTTTCTTTACAGCTAAATCAAATTGACAAGCAATGCCAACGAAAGCTTAGCGTACATTATTTGTTGTTTGTTTTCTATTGTAGTGTTGTGCCTATGACTTCAATTGAAAGAAAAGTAATAGTGCAAGAGAGCACGCTTTATAGTGGCGGAGGATCCAAACTGACAACGTTTGAATCGTTTGATACGGTTCATTCGTTGTACTTGCCCCATGGAGGCGGAAATGTTGTAGGCCCGTGTACTCAGATTTGGGTGGACGTTAAAGAACCCCAGGTGGTCAAAATTTCCGGAGCCCTCCACTACGGCGTCTCTTATAATCATATGGTGGTTTTGGGACGTTAAACCCCACAAATCAATCAATCGTTGTACTTGCCCCGCAGGTGAAGCGGTATGGTGCTGAACTGCTGTCCCAGCTGCCCATCCGGTATTTGGTAATGAGGGCACAGAGGGAGGAACGGTACGCAGGCCTCTTCCCGCCACTGCTGCGCCTGCTAGCCTCACACCATCCGCACCTCTGCATGGTGGACGACTGGCTCCGTGGCGAAGGTGCCGCTGCAGTCACTGCTCTGCCACACCGTCGCTTCGGACCACGGTTGGGGCCAAGGGCACCGTGTACTGTTCCCAGCCTTGCGCAGGGTCAGTCCATTTCACATAAAGCTGCTCTTCGCTGCCACATTGTCTGGTGCCGTCAGCAGTGGCATGCAGTATAATCTCAGTGATATGAATTAGCCCAGCCGATACAAATTTCAGTCTGATATTAAGTTTCAGCGTTGGGAGGTTGATAAGAACTTGGGCACTGAAACCGTCAAGCGACAGCCACCAGAAGCACGCCCTGAAAGAACCGAAAGTGTGTGCGCAGCCAGCGTGCACACTGTCGGAATTGTAGTTAACATATGTCGTGGCCATACAACCGCTGTAAATGAAGCTGCGGTTGTATGGCGACGACAGAACTCGCAAAGTGTGCGAGCATCCAACGCTCGCCAAGCCAAAACGATGCTGCCTGCCGCAGCTGCTGTAGACAAAACTATGGTAGACATGATCATAGATAGCAATGATGTAATTATGAAGGCACGTGCGCAGCTAGTTCACACAAATCAGAAATGGAACTACCAATTGCCACAGTTGCCGCACACGAGAACATGGTCACTATCAGCGCAATCGCCAATAGTGGCTACGCAGGTCTAAAAGTACACGGCTAATGGAGCAGTAAAGTTGTAAAATGGCATGAAGCGTTTTGGCATTCCTATCATTCAGTTATAACTATGGGGGTGCGGTCTTTGGCTAGGTGTTAAGCAAAGCCTTAACGCGTGCGTTTATGACAGCCACCTGCGCCATCACTTATTGGTTCATGTGCCTGTCTCCCAGAAAGACATATGCGAGTTTTTTCTGTGGGAATAAATGTTTTGTATCTGCTATATCGTGTTTTGAAATAGTATTTCGCTAGTGTTTGATACAAAATATCGGGTGATACGAATACTTTCACTCCTGCCCTTCATATTCATATCATTGAGATTGTACTGTAGTGAATGTGTGAATTCAATTCCCTGTCGCAATAGAGGTTGAATGCAAAAACGCTCTGAAACACTTTTTCAAGTAACCATGGATTTGATTCGCTAAAAGAGCTTATTGCCTCATGAATTCAGTGCCGCAAAAATTTTAAGAATCCCTCCAGTGCAAGTGGAGTTGCAAAAATTTTTCTCACGCTGCAATTGCACTCTCTCTTCTCTCGTCCCGCCGAAAGCACTGGAAGCTAAGCAGGGAGGGATAGCATGGGCAAAGAAAATATGTCACACCCACCTCGTGACCTGGACCACTTTTCTTTTTTTTTCTTTCTTCAAATACGCGGCTTTTTCAGGGTGATCATGCGTGCACGCGTAGACAAGTTGCGGCCTTTCGCGGCGATCCCCGCAATGACAAAGCGCACCAAGTTCAAATCAGCCAATGGCTGATAAATGGCTTTCCACAAGTGATTTTTGAGTTTCCTCCGTCATTCGTCGAGAGAATAAAAAGGAAACTTCAGCTGACTTTGATAATTTATTGTGAATTCCAGGCCACGTACTGCGCTATAATATTTGGCTCGCGTGTTCTCGGAAGCCTCTACTACTTATCGGCAGCGTTTTCTGACCACGCTCAAAAAGTTTTGCAAAGCCTCTTTAAAGGAGCTTCAGGAGGCCTAAATTAGTACGAGATCTCCCCCGCTACGGTGTTTCTTATAGGCTACTGGGCGGCCTTGGGATGTTAAAGGTAACAATTGTAGTTGATAATTATTTACCATGAGGCATCTTATGGTTTCCTCTATGATTTGAAGGGGTAATGAAAGTGTGTAATGTAACTAGTAAAAATAGCCTGTTCTAATACAAATGCGCAGGGATGTTGTGAAGGCTGTTTGGGTTCACCGCAAGGTCGTCACATGTTTGCTACAAAGTAAATTTGCATGTACAAAGGCCTTGTTAAGACCACAGTTGTTCTAGGGATTGTGCTGGATATCTGCGCTTAGAGAATAACATTTTAATATGGTCTACATGAATAGTGAAATTGTGCACTCTTGGACCTGGTATTATGGAAACGTTCTGAGGGAACGTTGACCCAAGGTGGTTTGTTCGTGTTATGAAACCTACAGGAAGCAAAATGGTTGAAATGAAATGACAGAACCAGAGCGTTTTTTGTTTAACGGTCAATGTCGAAGAAGGTGATGACACTAAAGCCTCTCAGAAATGTGTGCGGCTTGTGGGGGTGCTGACACCTCCTCCTTCCTGTAAAGTTGTCTGCGTCGCGTGGCGCACGTGTCTCACCCCAAGGCTTTATTTCGGTGGTGACCACCGCCGGGCGATAGATGGCGTTGTGTTCGCTTTGAGTACCACTGTTGGTAGAGTGGTAGCGCCGGCGGTGGCCCCTGGCGGAAGGCAGGCCTTGGTGGTGGGCGAGCGTTGAGCGAGTCTCTTCTGCGCGTGGCGGCTGCCGCGAACGGTTGTCTGTAGCGTGGGCCCCCCCGGTGCTCGGCACCGCGGGCTTCGCGCCGGGGTCCCACGTGGGAAGTCAGGCGTTGGCGACGCCGCTTTGGGTATGTGTTAGTGTGTTGGTTGTGTTAGTGTGTGTTTATCTTGTTATTGTGTGTTTAGTGTGTCACTGCGTTATGTTGTTTGTATGGTAGTGTGTTAGTTAAAATTGATGTAACATTCGGCGGATGATATCGTCGTCTAAATTAGTTAATAAATGTATGTATGTTGTGTGCTTTGTACCGACCGTGTCCACTGTGTCCGTTCACTCCAAGAGCGTGGCGTGGCGAGGCACTCGTTCGCCTCGCCGAGACCCCACAGGCTTTGATCTGATGTGATAAGGACAGACTGTATTGCTGAGCTTTTCTGTAGGGGATTGGACCTACTAAGCATATATTAACATGTAGTTTGTTTCTGTCAAGTTTGTGGCTGAACTTCGTAGATGTAAGAACTAGATCTCTTCTTACGGAGTTCGTTTTATTAATGTTCAGGTTGTGAGAACTCATTATTTTCAGGTGTGTACTAGTGCCGTTTCCCAGTGAAATAATGACAATGTGTTTTATTCAATGTTGTGCAGCTTTCAGCCGCCTTCGAAAATGCCCTATTGACCTGATGTCACAGCTGGACCGGCTGAACACGATGCCACTGCCCCATTTGTGGCCCTATGCTCAGCCGCTGGTCTCCAACCTACCTCTCCTCCTGGAGCAAGGATGCCCACGACAGGTGCACCAGTCTTGTCTGAGCCTCTCTAATGGCTTTGTCGCGGATGTTTTAAAGAGACTCCAAAGACCAAAAGGTTTTTTGCGTATGAGTAAAGGACAATTTCACTATCCCAGAAACACCACTCTTACTGCAACACGACTCTTAGTAAGTGAGAAAATGTGCGAAAAAAAAAAAGTGGTTGAAGACCCCACCTTGAGATTCCCACAGCAAACATACGAAACCAAAACGCGGTTGGTGCCCCGCCACGGTGGTCTAGTGGCTATGGTACTCGGCTGCTGACCCGTAGGTCGCGGGGTCAAATCCCGGCTGTGGCGGCTGCATTTCCGATGGAGGCGGAAATGTTGTAGGCCCGTGTACTCAATTTGGGTGCACGTTAAAGAACCCCAGGTGGTCAAACTTTCCGGAGTCCTCCACTACGGCGTCTCTCATAATCAAATAGTGGTTTTGGGACGTTAAACCCCACCAATCATCATCATCATCAAAACGCGGTTGGTCCAGCTTTTGGGATGGACAAGAACTAGCTCTTGACGACGGGGTTTTAGTGGCTGGTGGGCGAGACATTGAGCAACCATGGGCAACCTGGTTCAAGATCTGTACACACAGCTCGATGCACATCTCGTGCCTGACGGCTGTTGCTTGCCTGACGGCACTGAAGTTTGCAGGCCTTAGGATTGAGTTCAGGACCGGATGGCTATGGTTCTCTCAAGAGAGAACATAGACAACGGCAGGAGGCCCAGGCCAGTTGAAGTCCTGGAGGCTCAGTTCCGCAACCCGATGGCCCATCTTCAGCGCCTGGTCCGGTGACCACCTTCCGCTCACCACGTCCTCTTTGAAGTCCCCCTATCTTCAGCAGCCCATGATTCACTTGCCCTCGGGCACACTTGTCCACACCTGATTGGATGCCTATGGACCTTGTTGTTATCAAGTGGTTGGTTCCCGAGATGTTCCGGGGTTTTTCTTGACAGGCCGCTTTTACGTCCACTCCTCGCGCCCTCGATGGGTTGCTTCGACATCGTCGTGTTTTATTCGGCCACCCTTCTCTTCCTGTTGCTCAGTTGAAAGGTGTGCACATTAAGCGCGCGCTTAACTTGTCATAGTGCCCTAGACCTATCATACGAAGTTTCAGAAACGTTGAGCCAATGTCAAGAAAATATCAAAAAATAGATTTTAAAGTTGCTAACTTCACATGTGGAGATTTCAGCGTGAAATTTATAAATGAAGCTTCAATCTTTGTGTGCAGCTTCCTGAGAAGTTTCCAGGGTTCAATAAATGCAATACTTATCGTTGAATGGGAATTGACTGACTTAGTTCAAGAATAACGGAGCGCTTCTGGGGCTCCGATCGACACTTCGGCTCAATGTGTTTTGGTGTCGCCTTCATGAAGCAACTGCTGGTGACTCCCGTGCTATGCTCATTGTGGCATCACATCCCAGCTGTAGTCACTTGATGTGTCCCTAAATAAACCATTTAAGGACCACATCAAGCTTCTTTATATGAAGCGGACGATGTTCAGGGCGGCAGAAGTGGATCCACTGGACTGCTGAAAGGAATGCCAGCGATGCTGTACACATGGATCGCCGAGGCTTGGGCCTACATTTTCGAGGCGCTCGTTTGTCGTGCCTTCTTGAAGTGCTCGATTTCAAATGCCCTTGGTGGTACTGAAGTGCCGCAGGAGCACATCTCTGTCAAGAAAGTTTCAGAAATAAATGTATCAGGTGACGATAAATGTGTGCATAAATAAATTTGTTCAATTTCTGCTTTCTTTGGACTACATTCGGGTGGAAACTTTATTTGTCATGTTCACTATCCGCGAAACACACTTCGGACTATGTGCAAGTTCAGCCAATATGAGGTTCTTACAGTGTGTCGCGCATGATGGCAGTCGGGTGTGAATTCCTGCAGCTATGTGTTAACGGTTTGTGCGTTTAAAGTAGGTATGTAGTAATGAATTTCCATTGTAAATTGCTTTCCCAATTTGCTCTCTCGACTTTGCCTCCAGGTGATGGAGCGAGCAAAGCAGGTGTGGTGGCGGCTGAACGAAGTGTTCCCTCGCCGACTCTGGGTGCTAACTGCCAACGCTCTGAGGCTACCTTGCCGCATGCGACCTCTCACCTTGGATGACCTCATCTTGGATCCTCTGCATGTGCTGCGATGTGACACTCGCGTATTCAGGTGAGCGGGTTATTAGTTAATCATAGTTCGATGCATCGAACTTTGTTAAGCATCGGGCCTGCCAGGGGTTACGGCGGCATTACGTGAAACCTTTGAATGGCGTCATAAACATGTAAAAAAAATTCAAATTAAAAAGGCCATTGCGCTGTGGCATTCGTACAGCATTTTTATTTCATGCCGGCCTGAGTTCAGTTATTTCTATGAATTCTGTAATCGTTATAATTCAGAGGTAACGTATCCTGTCCTAGAAAGTGGTCGTACCAGGTCCCAGGTTTCTGGGCACTTCACTTATTGGCATAAATTATAAATTTTAGAGCTAGCAACTAGCAAAATTTTGCGTGCAAAGCAAATTAGAATGCTGAAGTTTTAGTATGAATCGAAACGAATATTTTTCAAATATTTTTTTAATACAACTCCAAAGTGAAATTGCAAAGTTTGTAAGGCAGTTTTGCAACAATGCGAGAGTGTGCGTGGGTGAAGCATATTGAATATGTGAAGGGGCCACTGCCAATCGGTTATTGACTGTATTTGCCTTTGAAAAGTTTGAATACTTCCAATGATCAAATTCTTGTGCGAATCGAATCGGATTGTTAACTCTATTAAAAAAATATTTTAAACTTCAAATATTCGCTCACTCCTAGTTCTATCTTCCTAACATCACGACTGGCTTTCTGTGAGCAAATGAGAAATTGTGCGACTCTTTTTTTTGTGCGAGTTGTTGCCATCTTTTCGTTGTTATTCTAGGTGAATCGAGAATAAAATATTGATTACAGTAACATGGAATGTTTAGGTAATAGAAAAGGATGCTCATTTGGAAAGGTTGAGAGGGAGCACTCATCTAACATCTTGATGTTGCCATCATCTTTCATTTTTTTTTTTTTGCAATGAAAAACTGTTTATTATACTTTCTGCGTGGCTTTAAATGACCTGAAATATGATCTATTTATTTTATTTGACTTAAAAGTGTTCCGAAATGTGAAAGTTTGTTTCTGGTGAAGTTGATAAAACATTACCACTGAGAGCAGCAAGCCACTTGAATAATGCAGAGTGTGAGGGCCGCTCTGTGGTGCCTAAGAAATGGTTTTTTGGATTATCCCGTGACCGAAGGTTAATCCTGTTTGGAATGCAATGAAATATGCAAAACAGTGTGTTGTGTGAGATTTTCAATTTGGTAGAGCAGATGCTGAGCCACACTGCCTCCCCCTAAAATAAAAAACAGAAAGCCTGTAGTACGGCCATAGGAGTTGAGTGGGTCATGCCTTGATGTGCAAGCATGGACAGCTACAATTCAAATTGGGCAGTTCGGTCCATCATTCTAACGTTTTTGTACTTTTGTGAAAATAAACTTGAACGTTTGTGCACCTATGTACACTACGGCCCACTTTAAGGGAACTCTACAATAAGCACTGTTCATGTTGTCGGCCCTCCAACTGCAAGTCTACGAGGAAACAATGTACATGTTTGATACTATGGGAGCGACGGCCGCGAGCCTGCGGATTACAGAAGGAACAGGAGAACGACAATCGGGTGTGCGCGGGATGGCACGTGGCAGGGGCTTGCAGCGGGCAGTTGTGGCCCAGGTTCCGGTCAATAAAGAAGGTTCCTGGTGTGGCTCCGTGTCTTCCCTGCGGGGTTCTGGGCCGAGCAGCCTCGAAACATGCTATATTTGGCGCCCTAGGCCGCTGTGATAGCTCAGTGGTTAGAGCATCGAAAGCGTTATTCAAAGGTCATTATATTTGGCGCCCAACGGGGAGAACCCTGCCGCTGGGCCACAGACATCGAGGTACCTGGCGGTCTGCGACCATGGCCCTGATGACACCGCTAACCATGCCCACCTTTTCCGGCCAAGACGCGAGGTAATCGGTGATCGAATTCATTGACGACCTCTTCTTATACTCGGCTGTTTGCGGCTTCTTGGAGTCCGACGTGCTTCAGCGGAACGATGGCGACGTCTTCAACTGCCCTTTCAGTCCTGGAACCAGTTCGTCGCGGCATTCCGGGAAGAGTTTCTGCCGGTCACCTACGACTACTGTAGCCGACTTGAGCTCGACGCCCGAGCGCAACATCCAGATCAGGGTCTGCGCGATTATATTCGGGCCATGCAGGAGCTGTTTCGTTGGCCAGACTCCACTGCTCCCGTTGGCCAGACTCCACTGCTCCTGAAGCCGTTAAGGTCTTGCATGTTATTTGGTAATGCCACCCCAGTTTCCAGCTACACCTGTCAAGCTGCTCCTTTCCTTCCCTTGAGGAGCTTGCTCGCTTTGCTCTGCAAATTGCCGAGCCGTCTACTCCGACCATACCCATCGTTGCGGAGGAGGGAGGTGAGCTCCATGGAAGCAAGGCAGAGGCCCGTTGGTGTCAACAGGGTTCATGGGTGTTGCTGATGTTGGACCAGATGCTGACTCCAGGTGGGACGTTGACGCGGTGCGAGACAGCCCTGCGGAGCGAGCGAGGGCAGCGTTCATGAATGCAGTCACAAAGTCCCGGGATGACGAAGCAGCATACGTGAAGAAGATAAGATAAGAGGAAGAAGCCAAGAGCAACGGAACGCAGGGACACGAAAATAACACCAGTTGAATCGGAGTCTGGCACCAAGGTGGCCCACGGTCGTGACCTTGAGAGGGACAAGGATGCCGTTGAACAGTATGCAAAGGCTTCCACCGAAATGGCGGTGCTCATCGACAGTCACGCTGAGCAGGTCTGGAAGCTCTCCTTCGCACTCGAGGAGGAGCAGAGAAAGGCTGAATCACTCTAAAGCGCATTCGACTCTCTAAAGAAGAAAATGGATGAGATTGTAGAGCTTGCAGAAAGCATCAAGAGAGCGCCAGCTCAGCCTCAGCACTCGACCCGACCACCTCAATTCGACGACTTGCCGAAGAGAATGCGGGGCTGTGACGAGAGACTGAGTCCGTGCAAGCTGAGAACGAGAGGTTGCTCTCTGAAGAGAAGGCAAGGCTGGAATACATAAGGGAGGCCGTTTGCAACGAGTACGAGTACACGCTGCAAGATTTTGGGGAGAAGCTTCGGAAGACTGAGACCGAGCATACCAGGTGTGTAGAAGAACTTGTGAGCCAGGAACAGTACCAGGGAGAAGTGAAGTCGAAAGACGAAGAGCTGCTTCTGCTGAAGCACGAAGTGGACCACTACGCCGACACGCTGGGCTCCCAGAGGCTCCAGTACGACCAAGAGTTGGAGAACATTGAGGGGAGGCTAGAGGTCAGTAACGCCGCAGAGATGGAGGCACTGAACTTGGAGCACAGGGCCAACATTGAGGTGCCGAGAGTGAGACTGCAACAAGAGCGCAGGACGTCAAGGCCGGCTGCGAGGAAGAGCAGCGGAAGTTGCACAGAAGCCTCGAGACCAAGCACTACTTAGTGGCTAACTCGCAGAAGGCACAGTTTGGGCTGGCATTAGAGGCCCTAAAGAAGACGCACAAAGTGCAGATCGAGAAGATGAAGGAATAGCACGCGAGTATCGTGGAACAACTGGCCATGAAAAGAGCGCAGCTGGAACAGCACATGGCTGAGGAGAAGACGTCTGCCATCCAGTTTATGGAAAGCAAACTGGAAGCTCATGACATAGACATTGTAAACACCGCTAGGGTAGAGTGTGCCGCAAGAGTCAAGCAGCTGCAAAATGAATTGGCAAAGGCGGAACAGCAGCTGAGCTCCTTGCGTCAATGGCACGAGAAGGACCCACCAATGGAGGAGGAAGTGGTTGCTGCGACAACCGGTCTGTCTACGGTAAAAGAGCCTGTGATGGCTGTGTCACTCGGCAGGTTAGATGGGAAGTTTTCTTCAGGAAAAGCCGAGGAAAGAACCGCTCAGGAAGCAGTTGAGTCAAAATATCACGCCACCACTCCTGTTTTAGAAATTAGGGAGACCTTGGCACAGTGCTCGGACATTTCCGTGGAGGACATCTTGCACGAGCGGTCTGCACTGATGAAGCAGCTGAGGAGTCTCAGCGCCACTGTGGACAAACTGCAGGCTGAAAAAGAAGACTTGCAGGAGCAGCTTTGGAAAACAAATGATGAGCTCACGTCTAAGAAAATCGGGGCCATTTCACGATCACCCAGGCACACAGCTCAGACAAACATGCGTCTGTTGAATGTGCTGTCTCATCTCGTGAAGACGTACGTGGATACTGAGCAGGAGATCCAGGATGCTCTCGGTCAGCTGGGGCTGCCATGTGTCGATTCATCGCCCACCAACACGGCTGCTGATGAAGACTACTTTAGCCTTAGAGGTATGAGCTGCCGAACTCAAGGCTCAAAGGAAGATTTTGCCGATGGCTTCGTCTCTGACTTTACCTAACACGGCGTACGTGGGACAAGTTTGCCTCGGTCATTGAAATGCTGGACAACTCAAAGATGGAGAGTGAGGTTGTTGTCCTTGGGGCAGGTCGCCGCCTGCGCACAGCTGTAGACCGGGTGCTGCGAGTGAACACAGGGGGCGTATGCAGTCTGAGCTTCGGCAGGGATGTCACGACCCCATGGCGGCTGAGGTCACCAGCGTTCGACGACTGCCACGTGGCGAAATGGCGGCTACCGATGCACGACTGGGCCGAACAGCCACAACGAAACTGACACACGACAACGCCTTACGACTTGTCGGGACCGGCGCTGCACCAGGAGCATTGGCGTTCTGTCGTGTTCGCCGAAGACTGAGCGAGTCCGGTGTGCCTCTATCTTCGGATGGCGGCAGAGTTGGCCCCTGTGTGCGAATCTATTGTGTTGGCATGTGGTCTGAAGTGCCACGTGCGGTCTGTAATGGCCAGGTCTAGCAGCTGCCGCATCATGTCCTCCTTTACACTTTCGCCGAAGGGGAGGAGGCAGTATGGGAGCGGCGCCCGCGAGCCTGCAGATTACAGAAGGAAGAGAAGGACGACGATCGGGTATGCACAGAGTGGCATGTGGCGGCAGCTGGCAGCGGGCAGTTGCGGCCTGGGTTCCAGTCAGTAAAGAAGGTTCCTGGTCTTGCTCCGCATCTTCCCTGCGAGGTTCTGGGCCGAGCAGCCTCAAAGCCCTTTACAGTACTAATCTATCAAAAGAAGTCAGAACTCTTAATAACCAGTAAATTTATGCAAATCTAAGCCCCTATGCTTTTGTAAAAGAGTGAAATCCAAATAAGCTGTGCAAGTAAGTGTTCCCTTTAACAGTGAACCCATTTGTACGTACGCCCTTCTCTTAGACCTTGTTCCTTCGTGCCTCCCGCTCAGCGCAACCAAATTTACGAGCAACAAACAGTTTAAGTTGATGGTTCGGCATTTTTGCGCGCACGCTGTTCGAACCAGCACGAGCATGCGCGGTGGTGTTGAGTGAATTTAGAATAATACGAGGCCCGACAAGTAATCTACCCTGGCTGCGGCGGCTGCATTTCCGATGGAGGCGGAAATGTTGTAGGCCCGTGTCCTCAGATTTGGGTGCACGTTAAAGAACCCCAGGTGGTCGAAATTTCCGGAGCCCTCCACTACGGCGTCTCTCATAATCATATGGTGGGTTTTGGGACGTTAAACCCCACATATCAAATCAAATCATGAAGCTGTTATTTACTGAGGTCAAAGTGACAATACATTATCCCCTTGATTCGGGAATTATGATGCGCTGTCAGAAACGCATCAAAATTCGCGTAGCATAATTCCAAGGCACTCTGTATTAAATTCCAAGTAAGCAAATGAAGGAAAGTGTCGTTTTGTGTGACTTTTAGTCATTCAATTGATGAGTGTGTAACTAATTATTTCATTATTGTGTCACCAGTCAGCTTCAGTATGTGCATAAAAAGAATCCACTATTATGCCCAAAATGCATGCACAGTTTGTTTCTTGGTTGTATTCGTTTCGAGCAAAGAAAAAACTGCTTTTCACGCTGGTCCTGGAACGCGTCACGTCAAACAATCGTTGAACATGGTAGTGTATCCAGCAAAATCATCCTCTGCAGCAATATGCAGCATAATGAAGTCAAATGATCGCCGCTAGTTCACTCAGAAGGCATCACAAATGTGCACACTAAGTTTCAAGCCATTTGACAGAACACTTGGTGTGTGATGTGTCATTGAAGTCAGCGTGTACATTTGTACACACCGTGACGGAAAGAGTTGCATATGTGTGCCATTGACGTTTTAGAAATATATATTTTTATCCATATTTCTATCTAGCTTGCCACTAAAGTGTTCTCTTAAAAAGGAACACCAAGAATTCAGCCGACAAAAAAAAATTTTTTCACTCTCAGCTGCTGAAGGTTGCTTAACCCTTTGCAGTCTGTTGTCAGGCCACAACAAACAATACAACAAGAAATACTACAGACCACAATACAACACGACCGCGCCCCGGTCGTGTTGCATTTATTGTTGGTCGTGGCATGACAACAGACAGCAGTACTTGTGGTCAGGTACTTCTTGGTAAGTTAATTTGTGGTAGATTCAAATGCGCTTTTTCTCATTGCAACTTGCATCTCTAAATTAGTAAGTAACCTTTTTTATTTGAGCTTTCATTTCTTTATTTGTAAACCAGAACGGAGGGAATGTGGATAACGGTTTCAGGCTGCAAAGATTTAAATGTTTCTAACATGCATTGCCAATTTGTAACTTTAATCGATCACTCGATCAGTCGTTTCACAACCACGTTTTCTCGTCGCGCAGGTGTGCCCTGGTGCTGGAACTGGTGCTGCACATGCTTCGTGCCCTGCTGGCAGCTTCACGCACCCACCTCAGCCACCACCAGCTGGAGCATCCCATACTGTCAACACCAGGAGGCGCACAGCTTCCGCCTCCCACCGTGCTCCCTGCGTCTACGGTGGCTGGAGCAACAGCGGCACCGCCAGGACTCGACAAGGGTTGTTCGGAGGCAGAGAAAGACCGTGAGGAGCTGCGGCTGGCCCTGGTGGCCGCCCAGGAGAGTGCCGCCGTCCAGATACTGCTCGAGTGCTGCCTGCCCACAGATGCCGAGAAGGTGGGGCTTTCGTGAGAGTCCTTGGGGCAGTAAAAGGGCACGACTCGTAAGCGTGGACTCGCAATAAAGGCTCTCTTTGCAGACTCCCTAGAGGAAATTGTAAACAGTAGTGTGTTGTTAAATGGGCACATGATCACATGGCATAATGTGCACCTGTTAAACCACACATGTGTAAGAGCATGGGGGTCTGCTCCAGATTTTGTTAGGCTATGGATACAGGAATGAAACAGAATAAATAATAGTGTTACAGTCAATCTGAGACACAAACTTGCATTGGTAAGGCTGATTGACAGGTTGACTGACAATGAACGCGACTGTCAGGCAGACTGGCATCCCTACATTGGTAAGGTTGATCGTCCAGCCTTTTGTTGGTATGGTTGATTGTTGCGTGGTGTTGACTTACATCTCTTACTTTCATAAGCTTGATCATCAGGTAAAGTGTCGGGCTGATAACATTCCTTACACTGGTAAGGTCAATTGTCAGGTTGAGTGGCATGTTTCACATATATTGTGTATTATTACAATGTTTTTACACACTATGCGCCCAGTGTGGCTATGAGTAGAGCCTACTTTGATATCTTGCTGCTCTTGTGCAGAGTGGCAGCGATGGCTTCCTGATGGACCTTCGGGAAGTGCGCACTCTGGTCTGCACGCACCTGCACCAAATGTTCATCGCTGACCCCAACTTAGTTCGGCTGGTTCATTTCCAGGTTTGTGAACACCAGAAAGCATACTTAGTGTTGCCATCATATTTCTTCTCCCTCTCCTGTATTTTCATGATAATTACTGTATTCGAATCTAGGCCAATAGTTGTTTTTTTTCCATTCTTTGTATCAAACTGTAGGGTCGGGTTAGATTCGAGGATTTTAAAAAACGCGCCAGTTTTCATGGAGAAATGTGGTGCACAGCTAGTGCCACCTAGAAGGTATTATAACCGTTAATAGCCGAGCCAACACCTGGCTTAAGTACCACCTGAGGCCTTCATTTTGATCATTGTGGCGAATGTTGAGGCGAGCCGTTCGTCTATTCTAGTCACACTTCGAGTGGTTCGTGTGTGGCGTAGCTCAATGGTGCCGAACAGGCGGTGTCAATATAGTGCCGCTTGTAAAAGGAAAGTTGTCTTAGCCGCGAAGTCGTCGTCCAACGTTCAAGCCGGGCAGGACTTAGGAGTCCACGAAAAAAACTCTGCGTCGCTAGATCGCTGCTGCTGCAGTGAGGAACAACATCCTAAGAACTTTGATTGTGCGCTATTTTAAGAAGTGCGGCATATCCAATGCGCTCGATGGCACCGAGGATTGTGCACTTTTTGAAGACAGCGATAAAGAAGTCAGCTACGAGGGAAGCAGCGGTAAGTTAAAATGAGCGTGGCGTCGGCAAGCGCCGCATCTTTTATGATGCAGATAATTACGTAGAAGCAGCGTGAAAAGAAACGACAATACACACAGGACAGGACTAGCGGCTTTTATGTTTCTCGAGTTATTTGCATCATGAACCAACTGCTTTGTTTCATCTTTATATTGAATAAATGTTATCACATTGAAGGTAAATGTTTTTTCCGGGCTTTGGGTTTTTGGGGGGGTCGGCTTAGACTTGAGTAAATATGGTACAGTCGAGCCCACATATAAGGGCCCCACTTAAAACGAACTTTCCCTTGGAATGAACAATATCCGCATGACCGTGAAAATATACATTGGTTCAATGGCACTAAATCGCACTTACAACGAACGTTCCCGAGCGCTGCCGATCGGTTACAGCGAACGGGGTCGACGTTCTGCCGACTTTTCCGGGAAACCACTTTTGACGACTGATCAGGCATCGGGGAAGTTCCCATACATTTTTATTGTTAAACGGCGACCCTGCTTCCGCGCCCCTCTAGTTGCCGCTCTCCCCGACTGCTTTTTGTTACGCAGCCCTCCGCCCTTTGTCCCCCCGCTACTCTGAGTACCCTGCATCGCCAGACGAGGCCCGTGTTTTCACACTACCACCGATTTTTCGAAGACCGTTCGGCCATCTCCCTTGTTTTTGATCACTGGTACTGTCGTTGGCGTCGCCGGCCTGGAGTCACCAGATCGTCGGCCACTGACTGTATCGGATCGTCTGTGTCTAGTGCACACGCGCATGCTACCCCACCTACTTTGATAATTCGCGATTTGTTTCGCGGTTATGACCTGTTCCCGCTCACTTCGCACTCAGCTCAGCATGCCCTTCGCACGCGTGTGGAAGCGCGAAAACAACTGTTAATTTGCGCGGAACAAATTGCGAAATATCGAAGTTCGTGAGGCCACGCAAACCTGCCGGCGCAACAAAAGGGCTGTTCGGAGGCAGAGAAAGACCGTGAGGAGCTGCGGCTGGCCTGGTGGCCGCCCAGGAGAGTGCCGCCGTCCAGATACTGCTCGAGTGCTGTCTGCCCACAGATGCCGAGAAGGTGGGGCTTTCATGAGAGTCCTTGGGGCAGTAAAAGAGCACAATTCGTAAGCATAGACTCGCAATAAAGGCTCTCTTTGCAGAATCCCTAGAGGAAATTGTAAACAGTAGTGTGTTGTTGAATGGGCACATGATCACATGGCATAATGTGCACCTGTGAGACCACACATGTGTAAAAACATGGGGGGTCTGCTCCAGATTTTGTTGGGCTATGGATACAGGAATGAAACAGAATAAATAATAGTGTTACAGTCAATCTGAGACACAAACTTTCATTGGTAAGGCTGATTGACAGGTTGACTGACAATGAACCCGACTGTCAGGCAGACTGGCTTCCCTACGTTGGTAAGGTTGATCGTCCAGCCTTTTGTTGGTATGGTTGATCAATGCGTGGTGCTGACTTACATCTCGTACTTTAATAAGCTTGATCATCAGGTAAAGTGTCGGGCTGATAGCATTTCTTACACTGGTAAGGTCAATTGTCAGGTTGAGTGGCATGTTTCACATATATTGTGTACTGTTACAATGTTTTTACACACTATGCACCCAGTGTGGGTATGAGTAGAGCCTACTTTGATATCTTGCTGCTCTTGTGCAGAGTGGCAGCGATGGCTTCCTGATGGACCTTCGGGAAGTGCGCACTCTGGTCTGCACGCACCTGCACCAAATGTTCATCGCTGACCCCAACTTAGTTCGGCTAGTTCATTTCCAGGTTTGTGAACACCAGAAAACATACTTAGTGTTGCCATTATATTTCTTTTTCCGCTCCTGTATTTTCGTGATAATTACTGTATTTATTAGAATCTAGGCCAAATGCTTTTTTTTCCAAATTTCATTGTATCAAACTCTAGGGTTGGCTTAGATTAGAGGATTTTAAAAAACGCGCCATTTTTCATTAAGAAAAGTGGTGCACAACTAGTGCCACCTAGAAGGTATTATAGCCGTTAATAGGCTAGCCAACACCTGGCTAAAGTACCACCTAAGGCCGCCATATTGATCATTGTGGCGAAGGTTGAGGCGAGCCGTTGGTCAATTCTAGTCACACTCCGTGTGATCCGTGTGTGGCGTAGCTCAATGGCGCCAAACAGGCTGTGTCAATATAGTGCTGCTTATAAAAGAAAAGTTGTCTTAGCCGCAAAGTCGTCGTCCAATGTTCAAGCCGGGCAGGACTTGGGAGTCCACGAAAAAATTCTGCGTCGCTAGATCGGCTGCTGCTGCAGCGTGGAACAACATCTTAGGAACTTTTATTGTGCGCTATTTTCATGCGGCATATCCAATGCGCTCGATGGCACCGAGGATTGTGCACTTTTTGAAGACAGCGACAAAGAAGTCTGTGACGAGCGAAGCAGCGATGAGTTGAAATGAGCGCGACATCAGCAAGTGCCGCATCTTTTATGATGCAGATAACTACGTAAAAGCAGCGCAATAGGAAACGACAATACACACAGGACAGGACTAGCGGCTTTACGTTTCTCGAGTTATTTGCGTCATCACGAACCAACTCTTTCAAGTTTTTCTACGCGCAAGTTGCCTGTTGTGCGGACCTTTCAAGCAAGCTATCAGACCTGCCTGCTTCCCGCGTTTTTTGGTTTTGAAGGTCGCCCTCCCGCCCTATCCTCCCTTCTCTTCACTCTATCGCAACTCCCTGGCCTTCTCTTGCAAATCTGGTCTCCTGTCTTGATCACAAACCCTTTGCTCGTCTCCATCGCTCCGCGACGCCAGCCACGCTGGTTTGAATTAGTTTCGTTTTCTGACTAGAAACGGGCCCAGAGCTGTTACACGCATTTTGGTATATGCGTCACGTGTGCACGTCTTGCTTGCTCTTAGTGTGCGTGTGTGGTCACGATGGCAGACCGGAGGACTTGCACGCTTTTCCCTGCTGCTCAACAAAACGTCGAAAACGTGACCGCTTGGCTTGAGCGTAATCCCCGCGTTAGGTGCCGTGTTGCAGAGTGCTTGCTCATAGCTGTTGACCACCTGGCAGCCAATTTGCCGCTACGGGCGTTACGGTATTCAGCTGTGAAGATGGTGAATATTTCGTGGGCGGCAGTGATGGCTACATGCACGCGAAACCGTTTTCGCGAGGTTGGCTTCGTCGACGTCGGGCCCCATGCCAAACCTGAAGCTTCCGAACAGAACCACTGTGGCGGCAATTGGTGGTAGCACACCATCGACCCCGACATGGGAGAGCGGGTGGGACTTCTGTTGCGATGGTTTCGTTATGGCCGGTGACAATGTCGACAACGCGGAACGGTGCACGGATTAGGGCATTGTGAATGAAGTACGTGGCAAGAGCGATTTGGAGGAATAGGATTGCGAGAATGACGAAACTTTAGAGCCAGTGCCTCATGCAGCTTATGGCACGGGCCTCGGCAAACGAGCGCGCTGCCATTTGAAATAAACTCGAGACCCCCCCTATCGCTTCTGCTCTACAAAACACGTGCATCACGGACTTTTTTGGGCAAAAAAAAAGTTCGTGTTTTCACTCGCCACTTTTTTAAAAGCTGTGTTTCATTTACTACGAACTTCGGCATTCAGCGAAAGGATGCCGCGTCAGGCTCAGGTTCGTTATAAGCAGGCTCGAGTGTAGTTCATTATGTTACAGCGCGAAAAGAATGGGAAAACTTACTAAGGCACGCATAAGACAGGACACCTATACCAAAGGCATACCTAAGCGTGCCCTAGTAAGTTTTCTCATTGTTTCGCACCGTAACATAATGAATGAATATCAATTTGGCCAGTTTACTGTACTCCTAAATGAAACTTAGTCTTATCTCTTCGTGCATTACACTGTTAGAGCCTTTAGGGTATCAAATGATGGTTGATTTTTTTTTACATTCTAAAGACCTTATACTATACCATGGGAATTGATTCGAGCAAATATTTTATGATACCGAAAGACGGAACCGCACGTCACAACCCATCAGATTCACAGCACTTTTCGAAGCAAATGTTTATCGCCACAATTCTCAGCCACAGCATAGCAACTCGCAAAAACATGACACTTTACTGTTGGCAACTGCAGCATCCTAATATTTGTACAGGGCAAAGAAGCTTCACCAACATCCTTCCAACCACAAGCATTTTTTTGTTACATTAAAGCTCGAGAATTTGGCTTTGTGAAGTCTTTCTGTGAATGAAACAACAGCACAGCCGTGCGGGGCTATTTTTCAGACGTAAAATATATCTTATATAGTAAGCAATAGCACACACTTGATAAGAAGATGCTGCTATAGAATGTGACTTGCAGAACAGGTGTGTTGAAGAGCAAGCTCGACGCGCTAATTATTAAGGGTGCTTGCTACCCTTTACATGAATTGTGCTTTGGGAATGGAACATGGAAATTGAGAATGCATTCCGAGAAGCCGTTGAATCTTATACAGAGTTCTCCTAAATGAGCAATTTCTGTCACAATTGCTGCGTGCTGCTTGTGTGCAAGAATTTGCATAACTGTCTTTGTCATGATAATCTGTGTGGAGAATCACCAGCTCTACATGGCACTGTTACCTTGCTGACTCGCTGCATTTTTCTTGTGTTTGCAGGGCTATCCCAGTGAGCTTTTGCCTGTATCAGTGTCACTGATCCCATCGATGCACATCTGCCTGGATTTCATTCCGGAATTGCTGAGCCAGCCTCACTTGGAAAAACAGGTACAGTGCAGACATCTTAAGGCTTTTGTTTGAGTTTGTGTTTATTTATTTATTTATTTATTCAGTTACCCTCAAGGCCCGAGGGCATTACAGAGGGGAGTGGGTACATACATACATGTACAGCATACAAAGCAAAATACAACAACAGAAAAATTGCAATCGTCGCTTGCTACAGGGTTGAACTGAGGCTACGTACAAATAAAATTAGTGACGGCAATTTTAAATAAAGCAGCATCTTTTATACCAACAATATCACAAGGAAGATGATTTTAGCATACAGATGTTTTTGGCACAAATGAATTATGAAAACACTTGGTGTGCGCTAAAGGAAGTCCTACTTTATGGCGATGATCAATGCGAGTGGAAACGTAAGTTGGTTGGGCCAATAATCTGCTTCTGAGTAACGGATTGGTGAAGTAAATTTTATGGTGAAGTAAATTTTATATACACAGCCGAGACACTTTCCTGCGAAGAGACAGTAGGGGTAATGCTAGTGTAGTTTTCATTGATGTGACGCTCGAGGTGCGATGGTAATTTGAAAGGATGAAGCGCGCTGCCCGATTCTGCACTCGTTCTAATTCATAGATAAGCGAATCATGACCAGGGTCCCAAACAGATGCTGCATATTCTAATCTGCTACGTACCAATACTTTGTAGAGTAAGAGTTTCAAGGAAACGGGTGCCTGATTAAAATTTCTTCGAAGGTAACCCAACGTGCTATTAGCTTTACCTGCAATATATTCAATGTGTGCCTTCCAAGACAATGTAGAAGTTATGTGTATACCTAGGTACTTATAAGAATTTACTATTTCGAGAAGAACATTATTAATATGATACGACCTGATACTAGTGCTGTGTCGGTTAACATGCATGTACTTGCATTTGTTAACGTTTAACGCCATGCCCCAAGTCTCACACCATTCCTGAACCCGATCCATATCAGCCTGCAAATCTAGAACGTCTGAATGTCCCTTAATTGCCCGATAAATTACGCAGTCATCTGCGAAAAGACTCACTGAAGAAGTAATGTTTAGAGGCAAATTATTTATATAGACCAGAAAGAGCAATGGTCCCAACACGGAGCCCTGTGGGACCCCAGAGCCAACCGGGACCCTGGGCGAATCAAAGTTATTAACAGTTACAAATTGGGAACGGTTACTGAGAAAAGCAATCACCCACGCGAGGACGTTATCATCTATATTGAGGCTCCGTAATTTTAAAATGAGTAAATCATGAGGTACTTTGTCAAACGCTTTTGAGAAATCTAAAAAGATACAGTCAATGGGTGTGCCGTTGTCGAGAATAGAATGCAAATCATGTATAAAACATATTAGTTACGTTTCACAGGAAAAGTTTTTACGAAATCCATGCTGCGAATCAGTAAAGAAAGAATTGCCCTCTAAAAATTTTACAAGCTGCGAATAAATTACCTGTTCCATTATTTTGCATGGTATCGAAGTGATTGATACTGGTCTGTAATTTTCCGGACAAAGTTTATCACCTGACTTAAAGAATGGAATAATTCTTCCCACACTCCAATCATCCGGAAGACAGCCCGCTTCCAGAGATTGCTCAAATATTTTTGTTAAGATTATGGCGCTGTAGACTTTAGTGTTGATTAAAACTTGGAAGTAATGTTGTCAATTCCGGCGGAAGACGAGACTTTAAGATTTTCTATTATTTTTGTACACCTGCTGTGTCAAAACGAATTGCTTCCATCGGGAGATAACCACTAGCTTGACAAACAGGGTTTGAACCTTTGTTGAGGAGACCTGACACTGCCGCCGCGAAGGTGTCACAGAGAATAACAGCGCAATCATCTTTATGGGTTACCCCGTCCGAAGTTTTAAGTGTTATTTCATGAGTATCTTTTTTATTCACCACCCTCCAAAATTGTCTCGGGTTGTTGACTAACATATTGGGGAGTGTGTTATTAAAGTAGGTTTCTTTTGCTGCTTTTGTGGCCCTCCTATATTCCCCATTAGCAACGTAGTAAGAATCCCATCTGGCCTGCGAGTTAGAAACTTTAGCGGACTGAAACAGCCTTTTTTTCTTATTAGCCAACCTTTTCAAAGATTGGCTATACCAGGGAGCATGCTTATTGGTGGTGACTAGCCTCAGGGGAACAAAGGCTTCAGTCAGGTATGCTACTTTTTCTTTGAACAAAATCCAGTTCAAATTAATGGAACGAGCCTCGAATTCATGAAGATAGCTGTCCAGAAATAAACAAAGTTCTCTATTGATGGCATCAAAATCGGCAGCAGCGTAATCTCTAATGTGCTTAGTATAATTTTCATGGTGAGGAACGCAAACATCCATAGTGAAATGGAGCAAAGAATGATCACTTAATTGAGGCAAACAAAGTGGAGACATGAACAGGTCAGGCACGTTGGTTAACACGAGATCTAAAACGCTCGAAGTAGTAGGTGTAATGCGAGTTGGTTGGGTGACAATTTGCGTAAAGTTGAAATCAGAACAAAAGCTCAAAAAATTATAACTTTCAGTAGAGAACGGACTTAACTGAGGTACATCACTGGACCAAAATATATTTGGGTAGTTAAAGTCTCCGGCTACAAGGACTGGTACATTAGGAAAACGTTCCATAACTATGTTAACCACATCGTGAAGGCTATTGACAAAGCTCGGATCGCAGGACGGTGGACGGTAGCAGATACCCAAGATAATCTTTTTATAACATGTGCAAATTTCAACAAATATGATCTCTAAATTGGTTACAACAGGCACAAAAGACGAAGAAATATGATCCGCTACAGCAACAAGTACACCACCGCCGCATCTATCACCTCTATCACGACGATACACATTGAAACGCTTTGTAGAATCAAACAATTCACTGCAGACTGTGTTAGCAGACATGCGTTTCTTAAATGTTATTTCCAGGTTTTTGCCATCGAATTGGCGTCCTACCTTTGCCTGCAGTATTCCATCGCTAAGTCGCTCAGCATTGCTCGCCTGTGCATCAATGTAACGCACACACTGCTTGGAGGTGAGCCTTTTTTTTGTTAATCACCGTCTTTAGTGTTAATGGTAATAGTTCATTGAAGTGTGATCAAGGCCAGACAATTTCACTTGCACAGTAGAAGGTAACATGGTAGCTTTTATTTTTTTCCCTCTTACTCTTTATACCTGAAAAAACCACATGTTTGCTCAAAGCCTTACAGCATTATTCATCTTAAATGTAAAAAACGTGCGAAAAAAAGATGACAAACATAGATGCTGAAATCCACCCCAAATTGCCCAACTGTTGGTTCCGATTACTACATTGTGCTTACTGTCGAGGCAAAGCATGGTAGATCATGCAGCAAATTCGGTTAGCAAGCATTCTCTTGTTTAGGCAATACTGGCTAATGCCTAGTATTTCACGTTGTAAATTCGGTTAGTAAGTGTTGTTATATTAAAGATGCAGCTATGTGATGGCTATCAACCTTGAGTATAACCATTAGTCAATGACAGGACAAGCTCGTATGCGAAGCTACTATAGACTTTGACAAGGATGAAAGAGAGCAAATGCCGTAATGTGCAAGCAAACACCTTCACCTTTCTTTTTTGTCTCTGTTGTGCAGCTGCAGTGGAGCCCCGATTATACGAACTTTCAGGGGATCACACAAAACCGTTATATAATCCGGGTGCGTATAATCGAAAAACTAAGATATAGGCAGTGGCACTCAACCTTGCCCAAAAAACAGTTACAGACCGCCTGCGTATGCCTACGGCACGACCTTGTGCCCCTGCACGGAAGGTACATTGAATTATTCTTGCCAGTGGGAGATAATAGCAGCATTACAAAGTTGGAGGAGATGTGACGAAATTTTTATTCTAAAAAAAAGAAAGACAAGAAATCGAATCTAACGTGCATCTTCCTACCGATAAACTGAGTCCGAAAATTGCCTGCGCGTAAAAACGAAACCGAAACCACTTTGGCAACAGCCTCCCGTCAGAAGAGCCGGACACAGTGTCATCGCTATCACGCAATTGTGACGGACTACGAGTTTGCATAGAATGTTTTCGTGTCAGTTGAGCTGTGCTCATTGTACCGTATATACTCGTGTAAGGGCCGCACTTTTTTTTCGAAAATTTTGCTAGGTGCGGCCCTTACACGAATCAGGCCGATTTAGTACAGGCAGTACAGGCCAAAGGTCTGTACTGTTTATGCAACAGTAGCAGAGTGCAAGAGTCACAAATGACATGCCAGAAATGTTTTTATTCGGATTCCATTTCGCTGTCCTCGTTCTCGGAGGAGCTCGCCTCGGCGTCCGCGTCTTCCCAGAGACGGTCATCTTCGGTGCCGTTCATGGAGTTCGAAATTCCCGTTACCTTGAAGCTTTTAGCAACTACTTCTACTGACATGGCACGCCACGCATTCAAAATCCATTCACACACCTGTTGGAGCGACGCCCGCTTCAGCCGTCCTGTAGGGGTCTTCTCGTGGACGCCTCCAGCCATCCATTCAGAGTAACATCGGCGAAATTCCACTTTGAATGGTCTGTTGACGCATACGTCGAGCGGCTGCAGCACACTCGTCAGGCCACCGGGAATGACGGCCAAGTCCGTACGAGTTGCGGCAACTCGGTTCTTGACGCGGTCGGTCAAGTGGCCCCTAAAGCTGTCCAAAACAAGGAGGGCTTTCCGTTGTAACAGCCCTCCAGGTCTGTTTGCCCAGACGGTCTTAATCCAGTCAACGACCAGTTCCTCGGACATCCAGCCCTTCTCTTGCGCACGTACGACGATTCCCTGAGGGAACTTCTCTTTTGGGAGAGTCTTCCTTTTAAATACGACGTACGGCGGAAGCCTCCTGCCGTCTGCCGTGATGCACAACATCACAGTGCACCTTTGGCGTTCTGCACCAGTCGTGCGCACAGACACACTTTTCGCACCTTTTAAATCCACTGTGGTGCTTTCCGGTGCATCGAACCACACAGGTGTCTGGTCCGCATTCCCAATTTGGGACAGGTCGTATTCATGCTCCCTCCTGAGAGCATTCACGAAGCGATGAAACTTAATGACGTGGTCTTCGTACTCGCGCGGCAGTTTTTGGCAAATCGTCGTTCGGCGCCGAATAGAAAGCTGGTTACGGTTCATAAACCGCGTAGCCCAGCCCCGACTTGCCTTGAATTGTGCCGGGGGTATTTCCATGTGGCGAGCGATGCTGAGGGCTTTGACGCGTATCATGTCAGTCGATACGGCGTAGCCGTCCCTTCGTGTGTCGACGACGTAGTTGACGAGCTCGCTTTCGAGTTGCGGGTACTTGCACTTTTTCCCGCGAAACGCCTTTCGGCTCCTGTTAGTAGCGGCGAGGGCATCTTTCTGATTCATCCAGTAACGCACGCGCTTCTCATCGACGTCGTACTTTCGTCCAGCTTCCCGCTTCCCGTGCTCCTCGGCATAGTCAATCACTTGCAGCTTAAATGCTGCAGTGAATGATCTCAGATGCCGGCCCATCGTCCGTCACGTGCGCTGGCTTCTGCAGGGTTCACTACAACCAACAAAGTGACACCGACGACACCGATCTGAAGTCGCGCTGCCAACGTATCGACACGATGCTAGGAACGATGCCAACAAAGAGGCCGCACAAGGCAAATATGGCGGCGCGCTGTCAACAGCGTGGTCGGCGCGTCGGCGGAAGTAGAATAAAAGCGGAAAAGCGTGCAGCGCCATCTGGCTGTAAATGAACTAACTACACTTTTCTGGCGGGACATTTTGAACTTTTGTTTTTTTTTTTCGAAATATCCGCTTTCAAAGTTGGGGTGCGGCCCTTACACGAGGGCGGCCCTTACACGAGTATATACGGTAATTTTTTGGCTTCTGGAGCGCAACTAATGATGTCCCGCTGTTATGATGAACATTGACGTCAAGTGAAAGTAATTTTACACCGTGAAAACAGCTGCGTTGCGCCCTTAAGCGTGCACAATCCTGTGACTGCGAGTGCGACAAAGACAGGAGATCAGCTGTATGTCGACCAGGAAAGGTTCCCACGGATCGAAAAAGTTAAAATATCAGCTTTGCGGCCAGCTGAAGCTACTCTGTGTAGATAGAGCTTGATCAGGTAACGACCCCGGATACATACGTGTGCGATCGAAGCATATGTATAAGTGCATGACCTTCCAGAAGAATAAATCTTCCATTATAAGAAGACATCCTGTCTCACTCCATACTTTTCTGATCGTCAACCTAAGGGAATACAAGTTCATATTTTACACTCGTCAATATTTGGTCAACGTTTGATTCGAGTAATTGTGGTTTTTTCTTTCTGACAGACTCCAAAAGTCGTCGTAAAATGTGGGGTTGGCGTAAAACTTCGTCGTATAGCCAAGGTTTTTAATACATTGTTTGTATGGGGATTTTTTTGTGACCGAACCAATTGGTTGTAAAATGCAGGTCGTCGCGAAAGCAGGGGACGTGTGATCGAAGTTCTACTGTGTATGTATTAAAAATAGTTGTCAGACACTGAACTCTGACATCACGACCAGTATTGTTAACAAGAAAGTGGAAACGGTGCATATGTAATTATAATCTATGGCTTTGAATTGGCTTTGATGCTGTGTACTCTATTTTCGTGCTTACAATCCACACTTACTCTCAGCCCTTAGAAATAGAGAAGTAAAAAAAAAAAGATTCCACTCATAAAACGCTGGCTGAAAACCGCAACGGGAGATCGCCTGAAAACAAACGTGGCACAAGTGTCAATATCTGCGCTTTGCTGTCTCCATGAGTCGACTCGCAGCGGATGATATAGTATCTGGTACTGAAGCCCTCTGTCTGTGCCATACTTGACATTGTGACTTTATCACATTGTGGCATTGTGACTCTCTCACCTCCTGAATAATTCTTGTCCCTTGCACCCCACCAGTGCTTCCCAGCTATCAGCGGCCCCTGCTGTTCCTGCCCGCATTGCCCGCTCTGGTGCGTATGTGCCAGGCCTTCCCTCCGCTGGCAGAGGATGTGGCAGTGCTGCTGCTGCAGCTGGGCCGTGTCTGCCTCTCCCAGGAATGTACCACTGCACCACCTCAGCTTGGTGAGTAGCCTGCAGAGGGCACCATGCTTCCACTTTGGTGGTGGAGCTACAGTGTAAGATATTTATAGGTGAGGACACTCGCGAGACGCAATCAACCAAATGAAGTAACAACGCCGTGCGCTATCGGTCTGCAGACTGCAGTGGATACCTGTTGGGGGGACGATGCAACTTCAAGACAAAATGGCGTTGCCGTGGCAACCACCACTTCGCGGGAAATATGAATTTTCTAGTCAGCAAGTGCAGCTACGACGTGTTAGAAACTTAAATTGGAAATGCGTGGTGTATTTGGTGCAGACAAAAAAATATGAGGTGCAAGGAATGCTGGCACTGCCGCCGATTACGTTTATTGCTATAGCTGTGTTACATGAATCATTTTCTGTTTTGAAGTTGTTTCAGCCTGCCATTGGATATTTGCTACCGCTACTGGTCTAATGGACATGCGCCAGTCATACTCTATCTGGTCGAACACGTCTTGCTAGTGAGCATAAAAATGTGTCCACATGAAGTAGGTGTTCGTATATCCTACACTAGAAGGGAGGGGGTGGGGGGGGGGGGCTACATGTACTATTTCAGAGTGGCAATGCCGCTATGTTATTTGTTGTAGTTTGATGATTAGGGTTTGATGATTAGGGACCATTCACTACTCAGATCTCCACTGATTTCTTACGTGTTCATGTTGTGTCCTGTAGAAGAAAAAAGAAATGTAATGCAGGAAGTGCACGCATGAGCAATTTATGTGGCGGCAAAGCAGGTGCTGCAACGTCTGAAAGCACCCACTGAGGCGCAGTTAGAATAAAACTGAGTGTGAAAATGAGCACATTGCATGTTGAAGAAAGGGCCAAAACAACGCAGAGCTCCTGCGGTGTCTTTGATGTGGTAGACACGATCTGTGAAGACTCACTGCAGTATCGTCAGAGCGTACGGGGTATTCTTTATTGTGCCTATAGTTAAGATTATCATTTTGTATGGATGTTCAGAGAATTCGTTCCAACCAAAGTAGTATAAGGCCAAAAAGCAGCTCCCAAGAGTGCTCTGGGCTGTACTGCAACAAATCGTAGGAAGTTTCTGTATAAATTTTCTTCCTATGTGTGTCTTTGCTATGTTAAGTTTCTCCTGTATCTTAATTTGGGAAGTGAATAAGGAATCAGTGTTGGCATGTGACATGTGTGAGCTTGCCTCTAGAAACGTTACTTATGGTAACATGGTATAGCTACCGAGTATCAAGCATTGTTAAAAGGATGATTAAAAATTGAAAACTTCATCAGACAAACTCGTGGATCAATAAACAGTAAAGTGACACCCATAGAAACCAAATCCTGCGGATTGAGTATGTCCACTATTTGTGCATTTATTACCGTGCATTCCAGAGCTAGCATTCATATACTCAGAATTAATTTGCAACGTCTACAGAATCTGATCCCTCCTGTGCTGTGGAAATGGTGGCAATGTTCAAGAAATTTCTCATACAGCTTGTAGGCATCTTGTGTAAAGTGACAGCCTTTATACCAACGATTGTCTGGTAAAGAAAGTGCCTACGGAATGCTAAGAAAGATTAATAGCAGCATAAAGTGGTTAATAGAACTGCATTTGTATTGTGTCAGAGTAGTGTTAACTCTTTACATGCTTTCCCCTCACTCGTAGCATTGATGTGCTGTACAATTATTTGCCCATTGATCTGTTTGCTGATGGCAAAATGAGCTGGAGGCAATGGCAATCGAACAAAAAAAATCATTTCGCACTACAGTATCCTGTCTACTTGGGAAGGTGAAAGATTGCCATACAGAACTTACTGATTATTTGAAGGGCTGTGTAGAACCAGCACATTAAGTAAACACAACAAATGCATTTAAAACAGTATTATTTTTAATGAGGAATGTAGAGAACAAACTAGTTGTACGCCTCGATGGAACATTGACTACGGTGCTCGGCAGCTGGCCCAAAAGCCGCTAGTTCGATCCCAGTCGCAGTGATGGCATTTCAATGGAGGCGATATGGTAGAGGCCCATGCACTGTGGGATGTCAGTGCACACTAAAAAACCCAGATTGTCGAAATTTCAGAGCCCTTTACTACGGCATCTCTCAATCATATGGTGGTTCTGAGACGTGAAACCCCAGATATTGTTATAATTAAATAAATATTCCAGACTTGTACTGCGTGTAGTTTTTGCTTGTGTTATTGCAACAGAAAATGAGATTATGATATCGTAGCACTACTTGTGCGTGAAAAAGAGAACCAGTAGGGTGGACTTGTCCCAATCATCCTTGGTGAGAGCACTAGGGATGTAGTACTGCTAATAGATGTGCCGAGTTCAACTACTGGTCTTGAAGGTTGACTGAGTAGGTGTCTGTGCATTTTCATTTAATCTCATTTATTGACTCAAAGGGAAAGGGCCTGAGAATGGGCATTACATAGAGGTAGAACGCAATACATTGTACAATGATTAAAGCAAACCTATCATATATTGCCGATTATAAAATGATGTTTTTTTTTTTCATAAAATAGCTCTCAAGGTTTCGGGGTCAATCTATAATTGGAGTTGACCTGCGGAATCGCAAAGTCTACTTGGAATCATAAGGTGGACTTTTTTAGGGGTTCGACGAACGGTCGCCGTCCTCTGATTCACAGCTATTCGACACATCAATAACATCAGCCTCACAGGCAACGGAGTTGCAAAAACTGCTATCTACCAATGCGCAGGCGCCGCTTCCGGAGCCGGACATTTTTACGATCTGCCGCGATGGTCGCGAAGCTACGGTATAGCTGTGGTGGCTTGAGGAGGAGGTGTCAGCAGTGGCAAATCGGAAATACAGCATTTTTTCATGTGGCGTCGCCGATGGCATCATGGTTTCAATGGTAGTCTCACTGCATCGGCGCGCGTTTGTCGGGCGAGATCAGACATCAGCACCTGCCGTGTATGGGCATGACTGTGCGTTTGGCTCGCGAAGAAACGCAACATGCATTTATCACTCGCTAACATTGTGACATATGTTTATATCTGTCGCGAAAAGCTCGACATGCATCTCTAGCTCAAAAAAAAACGTGTCGTTTAGCGTTTGCGAAATACATGACATGCGTTTCTCGCTTTAGTAGACAGCGTGCCCTAACAACGCTTGCTGACCAGGCAATTCAAAAATTTAGATTTTATGCGAAGCACCATGGGCAATTCCCAAAAAAACTGGCAGCGCCGTGTGGGGTTGGCAACACTTTGTGGCGAACTAAACTGCATGACGAGTCACATGCGCCCCATGCATGTTTCCGTCTTCACACCTTTTTGCGCTCCCCATTTCTGAATTTCACCTCGCTTGCAAACAGTGGCGTGCGTGGTTTGCGTAGCTGCTCAAAGGACGCCAAGATGCCTCTGCTACACCGGCAGCAGTACAGCTTTCAAGCTGCTTTCAAGCAGCAAGCAATCCTCTATGCTGAGTCGGAAAGCAACGTTGAAGCAGGGTGAAAGTTCGATGTACGGAAAATTGAGTGAGGGAATGGAGAAAACAAAGGACCAAGATCTCCGCGTGCGCTGCAACACGTTGTTCCTTTCGTAGACTAATGTCAGGACAATACCCTGCCGTTCGAGACTGTGTTCAGAACCAGAGAAGCAAAAGCCTGAGCGTTTGCTATCATGATATTGAAGCAAAAGCACGTACTGTCGCGAAGGATACGTGGATCCCACTGACCATGTTCAGAGTATCAAAGAAATGGGTCACACACTTTCTGAAACAGAATGGCCTGAGCCTAAGATGGTGCACAACTGCATGCGAAAGGTTGCTTGACGCCTACGAAGAAAAACAGCACACGATTCTTCGCTATGTGAGTGACCTGAAGGCAAAGCATTCACTCCTGCTGTGTCAAATTGGCAATGCCGACCAGACTACCGTCTGGTCTGACATGCCCAGCTAGAGGACTATGTCCGAAAAAGGGGAGCGTCGGGTTCACCTGCTGACAGCGGGCCACATACAACCGTTTCACTGTCATGTGCTGTACAGTCAACGAGCATAAGCTACCCCCATTTCTTCTGTTTAAAAGGAAAACTATGCCAAAGAAAGAAAAGTTTCCGCCGGAAGTTATAAGGCGGGTGAACAAAAAGGGTTGTTTTCAACCATGAAACTGTCCTCGAATGGTTTCGTCTCGTGTGGTGCAGGCGCCCAGGTGCACTGCTGAAGCCCCGCAGCATCCTCATACTGGACTCCTTCTGTGGCCATATCACAGATCATGTAAAGAAAGTGGTAACGGACTTTGGATGTGAGCTGGTCATCATTCCGGGTGGACTGGCCCCTATTCTCCAGCCACCATACATGACGCTCAATAAGCCGTTCAAAGACCGCATGAGCGCGTTCTACAATAAATGGCTTCAACAAAAAAACTCCAAGACAAAAAAAAAAAAAAATCTGAAGGGCGCCTCTTTGAGTGAAGTGGCGCAATGGGTTAATGACGCCTGGTATGGACTGCCAACCGACATGGTCCGCGGGGCGTTTGCCATGTGCGGCATCTCAGTATCACCAGCATCCCTTCCAATGGCAAGCAGCAGCAGTGGCTCACACGATGGCCATGGCCCGCGACTGCTACATCCTTCTCTCAAGCGACGGCGAGTCATAAGCGATGTTTCATGGTCAAACAAATGCTTCTTTGCATCACTCCCTCTTCTGAAAGACTTACTGGTGTGTTATGGCTGCAGCATGGGGCTCTGCTTCGAGTGAACTTTTTTTTTTTTTTTGCCTAGAAAGAGTTGCAAGTTGGAGGTTCGAGTTACAACTGGCAATATACGGTAATAAAAAAACTAACAAGCACGGGGAAAAAAAATGGCAGCATTTATCTTTCACTCATGTAAATCACTCTTATTATTTTCCTCATTTCATTTGTAAAATCCGGTGCGTTTCTTGATGCAGGCTTTTCAGCCAACCAGCTGGAGAAGTCTGCAGCCAACGTGGACGAGAAGGAGGCCCTCGAGGGCCGTGTTCCGAGCAACAGCGTCCTCTGCGGTGCAATACAGAAGTCTTTTGCGGACCTATGTGACAATGCGGTGCTCAATCGAACTATTTACTAGGCCTGACAACTGTGGCAAAACAGTCTATTGCCGCTGTACGCGGTGCAGTAACCGGAATCACCAATGTGTGCCTCCTGCTTTGTACAGTCCTAGAGAGTGCATTCTATTCGTCTTGCCAAACTGATTATGCACATCACACGAACAGTTAAGGGACACATGCCTCAGAGTCAAGGCATGTGCCATAATAGTTTAAACCGAAGGTGAGGGTGTTTGTTTTCTTATGGTTATAAGGGGCATTAGTATTTATTCATGTGTATTGCATCACTGTCTAAAGACATCACATTCTGCATGCATCTATTGTAAATAGGTTTCCACTTTGTGTAGGCAAGAGTCTATAGACTAAACCTTTTTTTCTTAGTACAGTCACGTTTCCTGATCTAGTAACTTATCCGGTGTAACTTGTTGAGTCTGCTAATTTGTCACGCTTGCCATGTCGCCTAATTTATGCCATTAAAAGTTGAAACAAAAATGAAGTGTTCAATGCATTGGTTTTCTTGCAGCATGTTTTGCAAAGATTTCATTGTGGCCAACTTGTAGCTCGTGTCTTCACGCCTCAACATTTATTCAGAACCTTTGCAATTTGAATAATCTGCCAGCGATTTCGGTTGTGCTGTTATCGAAACCCGTTACTCCCCCGTTTTACTGACTAACCTTACGCCTGTCTTTCATTTTTCTTGGTGTGATCCCTCCTGTTAAACAGAGTGAGTGTGGTACCATGTATGAATGTTAATTGCAGAGCACTTTAGCAGCCCAAGCTTTCGTATGCCGACATTGTCACTTGTAACACAGGCAAAACTGCACATAGCATAACTATCTGTAGAATATTGAGCACACGCACGCACCAAGTTCTCCGAGCACCCTGATGATGATATTGTTGCGGGGCCGTGATGTTGACAACGCTGGCAGTCAGCATGTCCAAGATGACACTATTTGTTTGGCAAAACTTGTGGACGGAAAACAGGAAGACGGACTACAGCAAGCAATGCACGCTGTTCACAGATATCTGCGAATAGAGCGTCGGTCGTTGATAAACTCATCTGCGGCAAAGCGTGTCCTTTATTATGCAGCATCCAACATTTGAGCGTTATCACTGGTGGGCGCGTTTGTTCGAAAATAAACTCAGCTGTTGATGCTTGTATGTACTTGTGCAATGGGCCGGTAACACAAAACATAGGAAGAAAGGAGTGTGTGTGTGGCAATATTAAGGGTGGAGCACTTTAGGACCGGGGCTGTTGTATATTGTCGCTTGGCGTAACGCAGTTAAACCCACGTATAAAAATAAAAACAAAAAAGCGAGAAACGGAACTAGAGAAGAAAGTAAAAAAATAGGAAGGCCAATATGAAGAAAAACAGACACAAAGAACTGGAGAAGAGAAAAAGAAAGAAAACAGTGTGCAAAGAAAGTTGAAAGAAAAAGAGGTGCAAGTGCTTGTACTGGTGTCTATTCGCAGACAGTGTCATCGCTGCCAGCTTTCGCTACATTAGGAAAAAAATTAAGGTCTCACCTAGATTTGAACTCGGATAGCTGGATTCAGAGTCCAGGGTGCTAATCATTGCACTATGAGACCGAACTTTCCTATGCTGGGAATTGAACTCGGGCCTTCTGGGTGAGTGCCAGATACCGCAGATTTATTGCAGCCGTGGTCTAACGGTTAGGGCGCCCGACTTGGCTGCGGGAGGTGGCACGTTCGAAACCCACCGCCGGATACCAACCGGTAAAATTGGGTACAAGCGTACGCCCGGCCAGGCGCCCGGCTTTTTCAGGGTGTTGCGCTTGGGGGAAGCTTCGCAAACCCCGCTAAGCCCTTCGGGGCGAAAACCCAGTTTCGAACGCAAACCTAGCCTGCAAAGGTGGTTCTTGACGTGGTCTCCACATGGATGACCTTCGGGTGGGTTAAAACCAAGAGTTCACCAGGTCGGATCCGTGCGACATGACAAACACAGAAAGAGTTGTTTCTCGCGAAAGTTTACAAAGCGTTCCTACCACAGAACCAGTGAACTAGTTCTGTGGTAGGATGGCACTAGACCATGCTGTTTTTTTTTTCTTTTCTCTTTATTATCTCGTTGCGATACAGAATCAAGAGAATTATAAAACAAACATTAACCATGCGTAGGCCAATGGTTTACAATAAAAGGGTTGATAGATTATCAAGTTGCCCAAGAATTTATACCACACTGGTTTATCCATCATGTGTTTAACGCTTTCACAAATATAAACAATGTTCTCATTGAAGTACACTCTTTGTGACAATATACAGATGTCTTCATGCCATTAGAGTCTTCCAAATGCTGTGTAGCATCATCACCATGAACATATATGGCACACCATCGTTTCTGTTCACTGGCGGAAAGCATATCCCGTATGGCGTTACTGGTATCTCTTTTTTCAAGGTATGTTTTAGCATGTCCCACGAAAATAGCAAATCAGAACAATCCAGGAATATATGTTCATTTGTCTCAGGCTTTCTGCATCTGAGAGAATTGATTCATTATGGCACAGATATTCTTTTGTCTTTTAGCCAAGGCTTCACAGGCAAAGTTGCACTGTGTAGCTGAAAGAGAAACGGTTTACACGACGCACGTATTGGCGCTCTCTTCACCCATTTTAACACATTTGCATCATGATTTTTACCATTTATGGATCGGTATAGTGACAATGGGTAAAGTGACATCTATAACGTCTTTATACTCTTTTTTTTTCGTAACACTGTCGAGATACTCCAATGAGAAATTTCCATGCATAAACCGAAAAGACCACAACACTTCAAGTGGGAATTGGTTATACCTGATTCTTTTCTATATTGTGATGAAACAATAAATTCTGGGAAAGCATCACTTAGTCTTAGTTGAACGACTGGGTGCAAGAAGTTGCTTCTTTGATCCCACAAGAACGATAATCGAGACACTACCTGTTTCAAAAATAGGTGCGCTAAACTGAGGCCACTTGCCTTCAGTGGTAGAAATAAATTAGTGCGGCTCATTCGCTCCCAAGTTGAGCCAAATATATACATTGCAAAAACTCAGTGTAATTTCTCTATACTCATTCTAGATGTACTTAAAAACTGCAGTACCTACCATATCTGCTCTACAAGAAAAATTTTGCACACTGTCGCTTGTGCGAATATAGACAAGTTGTGGCCTCTGAATTTGTCTGCCTTCTCTCCGGTCTCATCGATTTCCTGTTGCCAATTTTCTTTTGGCTTATTGTAATGTTTTAATGGCGACTAAGCCAATGTATTTCATTGGTGTCATGGCCCATGCTACATTTTCGAAATGTATTGGAGAATGGCAGCTTCCGTGCCATAACCCAGCGATTCGCTCCAGTTTACAGCACTAAGAGTCACGCTACAAAACATTGCAGTCACTTCTAGCTCATTGCCTACGCTTCGCTTATCTTCACAAAATAGTGCGATGTCATCTGCATAGGCAAGTAATTTTATTTCGCTTGTGTCTACCTTAAATCCTTTTATATCATTATCATGCATAACACCGAGCAAAGCGGTTCTAGAAGTAATGCAAAAAGTTGAGAGGAAAGAGCACATCCTTGTTTTAGACCCGACCTAATGTTATGCATTGAGTTAATATTTTATAAACTACAATTTGCATTGATGCTTTATGGTAGCACATCTACTCCTTCCAATAGGATAGAACCTACACTGGTGTGTTCCATGACCCGGAGAAGAATTTCATGCGATAGCTTATCAAAAGCCTTCTCCAAGTCTAGTTGTATCATCGCAACTTTTTTCGAGAAAGCATCACAGTACTCGAGGATCGTCCTTGCTACGTGAATATTTGTAGTTATGGACCTCCCCTTTACCCCGCTTGTTAGGTGAGGACCTACCAGTTGCTGTACTACATTTTGGAGCCTGCTTGCCAGTACTTTCGCATATACTTTATTTATACTCTGTGTAAACTGATAACAGTTTTTCAGGATCGCTCGATTTTGCTATCAACACTGTAAAGCTTCGGTGAAAAGATGGAGGTAGTACTGGCTTATCATATGCCTCCGTTATTACATAATGTAATATCCTGGCTAACTCTTCCTTGAATCTGTTATAGAAGCTTGCACCGAAACCATCTGGTCCTGGTGATTTACCAATGCTCAAGTTATTGATGTTTTTTTCTATTTCTGCGACTGTTATGGGGGCCTCTATGCTTTCTCTCATCATCGAACTTGAGCATTTTCCGAAGAAATACATCGAAACCTTCTGAAAAAGAGGTTTTCTGCCCCAGCATTCCGTCATAATACTTTTCAAAAGCACCAGGATCAAATTATCTTTTTTCCAGCTTACATCATTCTGGAACATTATGGGATTTATCTCATTTCTTGCAGCATAGCCATTGTCGTCAGATATTGACCGCTTCAATGGATCTTCACCGAACCAAAGTTTTTTGGCGCGTGCACGTATACTGGTGCCTTTATACTTTTCAAGATTTAATCGTTTCATTTCAGCTGTATTTTTTTTGTACCTCTCAGGATTACTTTTTGTTTGCTGAGTAAAGAAATCTAGCTTAGCTTGCAGCTCCCTTTCTTTTCTTTTTTGCCTGTTTAAGTACACAGGATCTTTCAATGGTGTCATTCTGAGTTAATAAAAATATTTCCATGCTTCTCAACAACTTGTTTTGTGCCTTTTGTTATACACCCTAATAGCATTTTTAACTTTCCTTACAAATACTTCATCCTGTAGGAGTTTATCAACAAATCTCCACAGTGACCAATTAAAAATTCAGGGTTACTTTGGACCTATCAAAACCATGATCTACTCCAAGAGCAGGTCGGGATCAAAACACGGACTGCATTGTAGTCAGTAAATGAAACATATTTGTTTCGTCATAGTCACTATGGAGGCAAAATAATGAGTATTATTCCCGGTGTCTACATTAGAAAAAAAAACAAAAAAGTAAGGTCTCACTGAGATTTGAACTCAGATTGCTGGATTCAAAGTCCAGAGTGCTAACCATTATACCATGAGACCACACTTTCCGACGCCGGCAATCGTACCAGGGTTTTCTGGGTGAAAGCCAGATATCCTAGCCACTAGACCACGCCGTCTTTTTTTTCTTTATTCAGCATTAAGTACATCTTGTACACACATTAATACAAACACTCTCGCTCTCGCAAAAAGTACAAACAAGCATTTAAAAACGCCAAACACACTTTGCTTGGTGTAATATGATTGAAAGCATTTAAGCGCCACCAGTTCATTCAATACAGGTAGCCACTCTGGTTGCTCATCTCCTGCATTAATATCTCTTGTATAGGCTATGCTTTCAATGAAGTATTCCCTGGCAGAGCGAGCATTAACATCAAGATGACGATACGCCATGCATGCTCTCCCGATAGCGAGCATACTTAACAACATGAACATATCATACGGTATGCCAATGTCACTATAAACAGGTAGAAAACGGTTTCCATAAAGCATTAGAGGTAGTTCTTTTTTTAAAGTTCATTGCAGAATGTCCCGAAGAAAAGTAGCGTCCAAACAATCTAAAAAAAGGTGATCAAAGCTCTCTGGCTTGTGACATAAAAGACAATCAACCAACCATGGAACAAATAAACCTTTTTCCTGTAGCCAAGGTTTTGCAGTACTTATCTGCTACGCTAACTGCTTGACTAATGCTTTCCCTGTCCTTGCAAAAAACAGCGATATCATCTGCATATGATAATCCTTTGACCTCAGTCGTCATCAACTGAAAGCCAGGTATTCTGTCATTGCTACCTATGTTCAAACAAAAGGGCTCCAAATACAAGGCAAATAACAATGGGGAAATTGGACATCTCTAACGAGCACTCCTAGCAATAAGAAAGTTTTACGTGACTTCCTTGTTGATAACAAGGCTAGCAAAGCAGTTCCTATACGACATTTTTACGCCATCTAATATAACACAACATTTACATGTTCCAATATTGAAAATAGTAAGTACTGCATGCACAACACGGTCAAAAGCCTTTTCCAGATCTAGTTGCAACATCGCTACTTGGCAGTCCCATACATCGCAGCACTCGAGAATGCTCCTCGCGGTGTGGATGTTGGTGCCAATTGTTCGACCCTTAGATCCACAGGTTTGGTGTGGTCCTACTAATACCTTAATCACACTTTGTAATCTCTTGGCAAGAACCTTCATAGAAACCTTATAGTCTGTGTTAGTGAGGCTTATAGGGCAATAAGCGCTCACCGACAAGAGCTTTACCAGGTCATCGCTCTTCGGGATAAGTACAATATGTGACCCTCGAGAGGACGGCGGCATTTCCTTTTCTTCATAGGCCTCTGCAATGAAGTGAAAAAGTGCCCCCGACAGCTCATCTTTGAATGTTTTTTGAAAGGCTGCACCTAGTCCATCTGGGCCGGGCGTATTATCTTCAGAAAAGTCGTCAATGGCCTTTTCTATTTCACCAACTGAAATTGGCTGCTCCAGGTGTTCGGTGGTCTCCTTATCTAGTGTAGGCATTATTGACAAGAACTCGCTGTCCAAAGATTTTTCTCTTTTACCTCTGCTAACCAGCAATCCATGGTAATAATATAGAAACGCTTGTTTTATGAATTTTGTTCATGGTGGTCACCTCCCCATATTTTATGCCTTTTATTTCATCACGGGACGCGTAGCGCTTTTCTTCGCACAGTGAGCGTTTCGTCGGTGTTTCGGCCATCCGAAAGTGCTCTGCGCGTGCGCGTTCCTCTGTATTTTTCTACGTCCGCTTTTTTGAGATTGTTTTAATTACTTCTCTTATCTCTTTATGCCACCCACTCGCAGCTGGTGTGGCAAGTCTTCGATGGTCATGCATTTTTCAGCTGCAGGTATATCATGATCGAGGTAGGTAGGTAGGTATAAACTTTATTTTTCCTTTGTAAAGGAAAGG